AGCTCAAACAGTTGCAGCACCATAGCCAGAGAAACATTTCCCCTTAACGGCTCAGAAGGATTGTCAGTTTGCAGTCCAGAGGTCATTTTCCTCATCTTTAGCTGACCCTGCACTGCTAAAGAGACATCTTTGCTTGCTCAAGTACTTTCAAGTTGTCCAAAGCCGGTTCAGAGGCAGCCCAAGACATTTTGCTGCCTGAGGCAGTGCAGCAATTTCCTCCTCCGGAGGTCGTAGTGCATCAGTAGCAAAGACAGGTCAAGTTATTTTGATGCCTGAGGCAAAGAAGACAAAACAAAAGCTCATAAGCATCTCTCCCACCTCTTCTTGTAGGTGAAAAGACAACGAGAATTGTATTTTGCAGCCCTTTCCATAGGCATCTGTTTGGGCACTGTGAGGAAGCTAGCTCACTAGTTAATGCTAAATTAACTTAATTTAATTAATTAATTAAGTTAATTGCTAAATGGGGTATGTTGCCTTTGGGACACAGAAATTGACCTGCAATTTTTGACATTTTTTTTTATTGTCTGGTTTTGCAACTTTTTATTGGGCATCAAAACTCTGCCAAATCCATTTGACCTGAGACTGGTCTTACTCTGTGCCAAAAGCAGAGCACTGACCCCATGGGCTTTGAGATACTCATAAGAACATAACACATATGCAGGATCAGGCCAAGTCCAGCACCCTGTTCTCAAAGTGACCAACCAGATGCCTATGGAAAGTCTGCAAATGGGACCTGAGTGCAACAGTAGTCTCTATAGGTCTGATTCCCCAGCAACTGGAATATTCAGAGGCACACTGGTAGAACATAGCGAGAGAACATAGCTGTCATGGTTAGTAGCCCTTCTTCCCTATGATACGTCACCTGTTTCACAGCTGAGCCCTTGAAACAGGTCGGCTTGCTAGATGCTTTGAGGGGTGACTGTAAAGTGAGCTGTACTGTACAGTCTTCCTGTCTAATAAGGCGCCAGACACAGCTATGTGTTTTTGAAATGGTACAATCAGCTTTGCACTTGATATGTAACAGTCTCAGTGCAGCAAGATGAGATAAGGAGGCGCTGGGGGGGGGGGGGGGGGCAAGGAGACACTCTAGAACTTGCAAGCAAACCGAACACAAGAAGACAGTGGCTGCGCAGGGAAGCAATTAGAGACAGATCCGGAAAAGAGAGGAGGACTGAACACAGAGAGGATTAGAACATAAGCATCTTTTAAGATCAGAACATCCCAACCGCTGTCTTCCCAGAGCCTGTCCCTAGGGGATGGGCCATATGAGTGGCAGCAGGATATAGAGGATAGAAAGCTTTTTATCTGTGGGATGCTAGTTTAAACCCAACAAAGGCTAAATCAATATTTGAAGCCATTTGTATATTCAGCACATTTTGCTTGTTTGTTCCTGCCTCTGTTGCATTTAGAATCCATTTGAAAATGAAATTCACAAGGAGACTGTGACATTTGGCCTCAGCCAGATGTTTCCCAATAGTTATTATTTTGAGTCTTCTTAATTTGCTATTTTCGTATTATGGGATTGTCTCCTCGCCATCACAATTCACAAGGCAACCTTTTATTTGATGGATGAGTGAATAAATAAGAAGTGTGGGGTGACACGAGGCTCTAATGAGCTGAGCTTAAATATCTGACTAATCAAAGGATTGGTTTTGATTTATTCATTTATACATTAATTAATTCATTTATTAAAAACAGAAAAACAAACATCAGATTTGTTAAAAGTCTGCAGAGCATGCAAGATCAGTTAACATATTGTTAGCTGATTAACAACTGAATGAGAAGACACTGTAAACCCAAGGTTGCTAAGTGAACAATATCAGTTTCTATATCTCGCAAACGACCTCCCGCCGTCTCATTATTAAAGGCTGAATTGTTGATACAGCAGTGCCTTCATAGGATTAGGTCAGGGAGCTCCAGCACGGGCATGAGGGCAAAACTGGTGCTGGGAGATAAGATCTGAGCTCAGTTCCACCCCTCCACTACAAGCAAGAGCAATATGTTCTTTGTCAGGGAAGAGTAACCAACATGACTGTGGTGCATCATAGGTACAATTCATACAGTATGGCAGGGGTCCCATGTAATGACCTCCAAAGGTTGTTGGACACCAATTCCCATCATCCCTGCCCATTGGTCATGCTAGCTGGGGCTGATGGGAGTTGGAGCCCAACAACATCTGGGGGGGCCTCACATTGACTGCTCCTGCAGCAGGCGATCTGGTGTGCCGGTTGGGGATGGGAAGTCTGGGTCTTCTGGCACCTCATTTAAAAATAAAAAAGACCGTGTTGTTATTATTTTAAAAATAACCGCAAACTTGCCAAACTTTAATTTGAAACACCCACTCTCCAGCCTGGTAACCTGAAATGTCCTCCTGATGCAGGATTTTAAAAAAAATGGCTACTGGATGTGGAGGCAGATTCAGTCCTATTAGGGTTAGCAGAACAGGGCAAAGCTAAGATCAGGAAATGGGTGGAGGCTGAAGAGCTTCCTAAACTTCTAATAAGCTACAGAGTTGCAGATAAAAGTGGTTCATGGGCCCAAGGTCTCACTCGGTAGAAGGCCATTCCCTATGCTCCTAGTGTCTGCTTTCTCTTGCTGAGGTTATTCAGGTTCGAACTTGTGGAACTGATTAGGCTTTAAAGCAGCAGCTCACCCCAAGAGCTATTTGCTGGTGCAGATGTGTAAGCAGTTGGGTTGCTGTATAAATGGTGGGTGGTGGGTGGAGAAAAGCTATGGACTGCTTTTTAATAAGCCCAGGGATGCTGCCCAGAGGTGCCACTGTGCAAATTGCTGTTTGTGGCGTGACAGCTAAAGAGAGGCTTCTGCAGCAGGCTTCGAGCCAAATTCGTATTTATAAAAGGCAAAAAGGCAGGGATGAGAAAATCATTACATAACAATAAGAGGACCAGGCATGAGAAACGAAACCGTTGAAAACTCTTTGCGTCTTCAGCTTACCCAGGAAGAGCAGAGAATTGCCAGAACTAATCTCTCATTAGGTCCTTAGCATCACCCAGAGGAAAGAGCTCGGTTTCTGGGCCAGGAGATTTACCGGCTGGCTGGTGTTACTGACTATATTCATTTTTGCAATTTGTGGATGTGAAGCAGGTTGGCTCTGCTGAATATTACCTCTTAACTCCCTGAGAATGGCAAAAATGCTTCCCTTCTGTGAAACTCCATCCCCTGCCCACCTGCACGCACACACCCCTCTAATCCAGGCAAGCACACAAAAGGCTCCTGTGCAGGATGATAAAAGACACAGCATCTCTGCCTTTGACTCTGTTTGGATCCCACATGCAGGGACTCTATAGATTTGGATGGCAAGAAATTGGGCATCCATATACTTACAGTACATTTCTACCTCACAGAGGAGGCATCTGGAGAAGGCTTAAGTTGGCAGAGTGGGATATGCATTTCAATGGTCTTAACGCGTGCCCTGCACAGCTCCACATTCAGATCCTGGGAATACCGGGCACACAATCCACCCAAGTGTTATCTGCTTTTTAAGTCCCATTTAGCCAACTGCATGCTGTCTGTCCAGATTCATATTCTGGCTTCACACCTGTATGCAGTAGTTTCAGGTATTTGAGGGTTCTTGAGCAAAGGAATGCAGTCCCTCCCCACCACTGTCCATTCATGGGTCCTCTTCCCCTGTGTCTAAGCTGTACAGCTACCTGGGAAAAACCCATAAAGTGAGCAGCAGCAGGCAGTGATGGCAGATCAGCAACAGGAGGGGGACGTGGAGGTTGGCAGAAGGCTCCAACAAATGCCCACTCCTGGTACTAGGCCTGTCTCTATGGTTCATGTACCACACCCTTTTTACTGCAGTGTAGTGGGAATATAGAAAGCACAGCTTTTCTGCTGCAGAGGCAATGTAGGGTTCCCATAGGAATTTATCTACGGCTGGCCGCTGCTGCTCTAAGTGCAGATTTTCAATAATCAGATACCCTGATCCTAAGCCAATTACTCATAAATAAAAGAGCAGGGTTCAGATCCCCACTCAGTCATAAAGCACTGAGCAGACCATGTTTCCTTGAATAGTTAACTTCACTTGTGCCATGTGATTTATTGCTGACCTGCTCCTGATACCCACTCCCAACAAAGTCTCAAGGTATCAGCGTCCGCCAACATTTTAGTGCATCAAAGCCTGGAGAGGAGTCATCCGGGAGAATCCTGGTAAAAATGGACTCAGGGACATGCTGAAATAGTTATTAGACACATTCACCAAAGCAGCCCCAATATTTTCAGCTACATTGCAGTTTGGTATGAACTGTGAAAATGCACACCTCTGTGTTAGAATAAGGTTGCAATACTATGCAAACTTAGAAGCAAGGGCCATTGAACACGCATCAAAACATGGGGTTTGATCACTGAACATGATCAGATCACAAGATAGCCCTGCAAACATACACATAGGTGCACCTATTTTTAAAATATTGCCTAGTGACTGGGTCAAACCAAGAACAGTTCCAGCTCATACTTTAGACATTGCTGCTGAGAGGGGCTTATAGTAGTCTAGGCTCAGGGATTGACAGTTTGGCAACTTTGAGGTCTTCCGCAGCAAACATGAAGTCTCTGAGCCCTGCTTCCCTAGTCACTGCCCCTCTTAGTCATGCAGCAGTAGGGGTGGTTAACGTTTAATTTCTTGAAGAGTAAGCCAAAGGAAGGAGGCAGCTGACACCCCATGTCCTCTTTCAGCTTTATATGCATTTAAAGGCAAAGTTTAATTCTATTGAATCCAACTTTTACTCAGACCCCTTGGCAAAGTGGTGGGGTGTGCTTCTCTTACAATTTCTCTGGGAGCGGGGCAATCTGGGGGAGAGAAGCAGCCAGAAGGTGCTATTCAGAGAACATGCTAAACAAAAATTTCCCAACGTGCCAATGGCCCTAAAAGGTTGCCAACCCCTGGCCTAACAAGTCACAAACACCTCGTAGCAGATTCTGCATCACCTCTGCTTAAAAAATGAAAGGATGACTGGAAACACGCACAATAAAAGCAAAGAGAAAATGATTAAATACGCTTTTATTTAGAAGAGTGTAAAAATACCCCATTTGTTTAAAAACTGGCAGTTTAAAAATATATGTTGGTAACAGATATGTGGCTTATACCATTGAGTGAGTTATGCCTCCAAGCCAAAGCAAGCAGAAAAAGTACTTGAGTCTGGGCTTGTGATTCCATTTGGTAGAGGTACAAATTCTGTCTGGAGGGAAGAGCTACAAACATTCACTTTTGTCTATGGCTTATTTCTGCCCAGAACAAAGCAGCTGAATGCTACTTGCCATTGGTTCTACATGAGTATCTTTGGCTTATAAGGAGCTGGAAATGAAACACGCTTTTCCAGCATATGCATGCACACACGCACACAAAAACACAACATTGTGGTTTGTTCTGTTGTCATCACAATCATGACAATCAGCTTTAGCTTTCAAGAAGGCACTTGCCTTTACTGTCCAATATACATACTGGCATGCTGGTGAAACATATGAGACCGAGATTCTCAGAGCAATCTGTTCAACACCCCATTCTTCTATCCTGATATGCAGCACTATAGAGAAACTGGTATTAAAAGTAATAATTGAGTGAACAGCACCCTCACTTCACCAGCAAGCTCATCATCCAAGAGGAAGATGAAAGGTAGAGGTCTAGAAGGAGGAGGTATGAAAGAACCCAAAACAAAACACACGACAGGAAAGTCAAGAGATGGAGAGCGCTTTTAACATGTCACTGGAGTGACAATTGGTAAGATAGTATCCCAGAATCTTTCTTCTCCTGTACAGAAGTTCCATTATGTATTTGCATGTTCTTGCTTAGCTATGAGTGAAAGACTCACAAGAGAGCATCAACAGTCTAGGAGGGAATCAGGGAGTAAGTGAAGACAGGCAGAAAACAGTTGCCTCTTATTGAAGATACATGGAGAGAATAAGCTTCCCAGAACTTCATTCTTCATCCAGGTGCTTGGCAGAGCGCCTCTGCCTGCGCTGCAGCTCTGCCACTTGACACTTCAAGCTGCGCACTTCGGCTTCTAGTCGGGCCCCGGAGTGGTTTGACCCACTCAGCCAACCAAGCAGGACATACAGTGTAAGTAAACCTGACAGAAGCATAGTTTGCACAGAGCGATCAGGCACTGAGGTGACAATAAACATAAAGCAGGCCCCAAAGAGGACAAACTTGAGGCCCCACATGATGCGGCTCAAGATGGCGACCAACACACTCAACAGCAGCGACAACACCCAATAACCAAGCAGAGCAGCCAGGCCCCAGAGCAGCGCTGTCTGCACCTGTTCAGGGTTTAGCTTCAGGAACTGAGTTGCACGCTCCCCTGGAACACAAAGGAGAAAGGGAAAAGTTTTATAAAATCATTCAACCCAGTGTGGCACTACACCATTTCATGACTATGGCACCACTACATTCCAGAAGGAAGCATCCCTCCCACAATGCATCAGTAATGGCTCCGCTACTAGTCCCAAGATGCTGCTGCTGCTAATAGTAATAATAATAATAATAATAATAATAATAATAATAATGTTTGCATAATAAGTTTGATAATAAGTATCAGCAGCAAGAATACTACTGGCCCAAAAATGGAAGCAGGAAGAATTACCATCGATAGAAGAATGGAGAATGAAATTAATGGACTACGCAGAATTAGATAAACTAACAGGAAGGATCCAAAACCGATGAGATCACAAGTTTACCAAGGACTGGAGTAAATTTATGGACTGACTATATGAAAAGCATTTGTGATACGCAAATAACGTTTGTGGGTTTACAGGAAGCTTTGTGAAGAAATAATATTAGAAACACTGTAAAAAAGGGAATAAGGGAATAGGTTTATTTAAAATAAAAGGCAATGTTAAATTTAGAATTGCGGATAGATTAGAAAACGGAAGATTCGCGGATGAGCTGAAGGAAGTCAAAATTATGTATTTGTGATAATATTGAAAATGTATGTTTAAATCTTGTATTGGAAATTGAATAAAAATAATTTAAAAAAACTATTTAAAAGAAACGATTTACCTGAAATACGTTAAAATTAGATAATAAACGGCTTTTGAACAATATTTTCTGAACACTTTTTACAAAATCCATTTCACTTTTGGTGTTGTTGTCACCTTTGTCATTTTAAAAAGATCAGATTCAATTTGAAAGCTTTAACCCACTGACCCTGAAAATCAATTTTATACACACAGACGAAACACGGGGTTGGAATCTAATTAACCACTTCTGGATGCTTAAAGACTTGGATATGCCTAGAGGGATTTAAATCTGTACAACATTATCTGCCACAATCAAAAACACCATTTGGAAAGTCACATCCAGTTCACAAGGAGGAAGTGTATGTCTGAGAAATGCAAACACCTCTTGGGCAAACATGACTCATGCTGCATCTCTGAGCCAAAATAACAATAAGAACAATAATAAATTAGGAACCAGTATGGGTTCAATCGTATTCCTATATGCCAATCCCAACCCTGCTCCATCCCACCACCACCACTGACATAAGTTTAACATCACAAACCTATGCTTTATTTGCTTGGAAGACAGTCCCACTGAGTTGAGTAGGGCTGCAGCCTAGGTTGCTCATGCTTTAAAGACAAATAAGTAAGAAAGGGGGACTGAATATGCGACATCTTTTGGACTCCTGGGGTGGTATTCAGCTAAGTTTGTCACAGAGTAAACCCACTGAAATGAACGAACATGGCTAAATTATGTTAACCAATTTCAATGGGTCTGCTCTAAGTAAAATTTAGTTGAACACCACTACCCTGTCTTTCCATCCAACCTATCTCCTGGTCACTTACCAGCTATTCCAAAGGAAGTAAGGAGCTGCCCTGTAATTTGAGCCACAACAAATAATGCTGCAGAGATCCCAGAGGACACCATCCAGACCAGGGAAGAAATATTCTGCAAGAAGAGAAGATGCACACTTGGGTGTTTTCTATTCACTCCATTACCAGCTGTCAGAATTCAAAAGGGCTGTCCCTTTTGTCAGAACCCATCTGCTTGGGTAACGAAATGTAGCGATGGATAGCTCCCTCAGCTGATGAAATGAGTGGGAAAAGAGCAACAAGATGACATAAAACTGGTCAAAATCAGTTTTGTCATAGATTTAATTTAATCATCTAGAAAAAGCAGATGGTACAACTCTCCTTGGACTCATACCAACTCTGAACAAAGCCAAAGGAATGTATGCTGGAAATGTTCCCTCTTGTTCAAAATCCCAACACAAAGTAAACTAGCATGTCAAGGCAAAACTCTGACTGGTTTCCCCATCACCACCACATAGCAAAGTGTTCAATTATGTAATCCCCAACTGCATTCTAAAGTGGTTCAATCCAGAAAGACCTGTTCACTGTGCTTTCCCCCCTAAACATTTAGCTTATTTGTCCGCCAGTTAGCGACTTGCCACAGATACATGAAAACCACTAAATATCATCATCATCATTTTATTGAATTTATATACCACCCTATACTCCCAGGTATAGGAGGAGTTCACATGAACTTCTTTCTTACCTCATTCAATATTCTAAAGTTCTCTCGTCCAATCAAATCCTCCATTGTCTCGCTCATGGCACGACCCACTTGGGACAGAAAGTCCGGTTCGGCATACTTTGCTCGCTTTGGCTCATTCCGGTACTGCTGGGCATCGGTTATTCCTATGTGAGTGAGCACAAGCAGTGCTACTACGGCCAAGATTGGTTTTGGCAGGGGCTGGAAGCAGCTCCGTAACGAGAGGCCCCATCGAGTCATGACTCCTGCTGTCTTTGCAACCAACTTCTCTGCAAAATAGGAGAGATCCCTAAAGTCATGTTTATCTGGTACTGCAAGCAATCTAAGGAGTGACAAGGATGACATTTTAGCCATGCAAATATATGCCACCTCTTCTCACTACAACACCCACTACATAAAGAGAAATTAAGTAGGAAGGTGAGCAGAGCAGACTACTAAACTAGATGAAACCATTAGTTCCATTGCCCCATGCCAGAGTCAAATGGAAGCAAAATGGATTCTGCATACAGTACAAACAAAAAGTCGAACTTCATGCAAGAGGATGACCTGTACTAAGTACATTTTGCATGCAACAAGACAAACTGTGTTGAACAATAGATGTAACTGGATGAAGCACACACCCTCTGTACAAACACTAAGCCGGGGTTGGGAACCTATGGCTCTCTGGATTAAGTTGAGCTCCAGCTCCCATTAGCCCCAGGCTAATAGGCAGATCAAGCAGCTCTCTAATGAACGCTGAAGACCATCGTACTCCTGTCTGCTCTGCAGTATTTTTCTAGCAACCTGTACACAGAAGGACGCAGGGGGTCTACAAAGAGGAAGGCGAGACTCTCTCTTGCGGGTGCAGGACTGACTTGGTCTCAAGTCACTGGGTGAAAAGTCTAAATAAAGGGCCACGACCCCACATCCCCCTCCCGTTTCTCTTACAGAGATACAACCTCACTCCGCCTTCCAAACACAATTCCCCCTCCCCTGTTTTTCTTCCCATTTTCTGAAGCCCCTCCTTAGCCTGACTTATTCTCTCCCCCTGCACCTGGGGATGGCCTGCTCCCGCCTTGAAGTCGTTAATGGCACGAGGGAGCTCTTGCTCCTGGCTGCTCCCGAGAGATTCGCGCTAAGATTCCCACCAGCAGCGCCGACCTGAGCAGGAGGGCGCACGCGCCGAACGGGGGCTGCTGATTGGCCGCCGCCGCCGAGGAGAAAACGCAGAGACGGGGCTGCTTACCTGGGTACTTGGCCTAGAGGGGAAGTCCGGAGCGAGCAGCTTTATCGCCCCCCCCCGTCTTTCCATTCAAATATAGCTCCAATCCCCGTTGCACTCTGGGAAATGCAGTCCAAAAGGAACGAGCAAGGGGCGCCACGCTCTATCCAGGAGCATGCCGGGAATTGCAGTTCTTCTTTACAGCGACTTTCACACCAGTTAAAGCAACCACGCGCTTCCAATTATAGCGACAGATATACTTTGCTGTCTGCTTCCCGCGAGAGTCCTTCCCGCCGCAAATAGTGCGTCGGATCCAATCACAATTAGGCTCGAGGGTCGTTACTGGGATTTTACATTGTCATTCGGTGGGTGGTGCCGCCTTCAGGCTCCTAATTATGGAAGATATCTAGGTTCTTATCTCGATATGAAACTTCAAGGCTCCTTAAGGCATTTCTGCTGCCGCTTCTCTTCCCTGGGATGGAAGGGGAGATCTTTTTACGAAGTCAGGAGGGAACCTATATTGCAGCGCATGTAGCTTTAATTAACAAGAAGAAATGGCAAAGAGAGCGGCTCCCCTCTAACTTGGGGAGTTTATATCACGCGAAACCTATGATCTGACTTTTGAGCGTTTTCTGCACGCTTAAAAAAAGGATTTACGACGCTCCTGCGGTGTATTAACATCACAGGGCAGAGATGCAGTTGAGACTGGGCTGGATTTTCAGCAAAACATTCTCCTTACCAAACGCGTATCGGATAGCACTACAGTGGTACCTCAGGTTACATACGCTTCAGGTTACAGACTCCGCTAACCCAGAAATATTACCTCGGGTTAAGAACTTCGCTTCAGGATGAGAACAGAAATCGTGCTCCAGCGGCGCGGCAGCAGCAGGAGGCCCCATTAGCTAAAGTGGTGCTTCAGGTTAAGAACAGTTTCAGGTTAAGAACGGACCTCCGGAACGAATTAAGTACTTAACCTGAGGTACCACTGTAATAACCTCGTTAAACTGCAGAGGACAGCAAGAAGCACTTCTGCTCTCCTGGACAGCGTTCAGGCAGGTGTCTTTGTGCCCCGCTGCCCTGGCGTGCGAACACCCTGCACTTCCCAATGTACTTTAAAAACAAATACCTACGAAATAAGAGCTAGAAGGAGCAGCTGCTGCTGCTCCATCTGCTACTGCAACCCGATGGATGCATTCCAATTCTTTAGCTCTTCATTGTTCTCTCGAATTTTGCCGCGAGAAAGAGGGGCGCGGAGCAAGAGCTGAACGGCTTCCAAATACGGATTGGCACGCGCACAGCCGAACGCGGCTTCTCCTCGGTCCCAATGCATGCCGGGAGTTGTAGTTGTTGATCGGCACCGCTGGAGCCCTCCGGATCCGGAAGGTGGTTGCCTTTCCTGGTCCGTTTGGCCTCGCAGCGATTCCTTTGCTTTCCTTCCTTCCGGAAGTGCGGGGGCGGGAGGAAGAAGAAGATTCCGCTTCCGGCCGACTGCTGGAGTCTCCCGCGCGCTGGCGTCTGGCGCGCGGTACAGTTTAAAGAAGCTTGGCCCCGGCCACCGGAAGTAGAATCCTCCTCCTCGATCTCGTGGCCCGGAAGTGGCCGTGAGGCAGAGACCGAAGAGGCGCTCGCCATGTCCCTCATCTGCTCCAGTGAGTGACTCGCCTTCGCCTTTTCTCGTGCCCCTTTCGGCCTTCCGACTCCTCACAGCATGAGGGGGCAGGGGGGAAGGGGAGGGAGCAGCCAGTGGTCTACAGTTGGTGGGGAAAGGGAAAGGGGGGGAGTTGAGGGTTCCAACCACAGTAATGCTGGTCATGAGGATGTGTTAAATACATTGCTGTGGGCGGTTGCATGGCTCTCTCCTGTGTCCACAGAGCTCCCCATGCCCAGTCTACTTGCCCCAGACCTTTAAAATAACCCCGTAGTACAATTCAGCAACAGTGCTTTTCTGGTCCCCGGTGGAGATGCTGAGGCTGAGAGTGTGTGGTTTCCCCAAGACTGCCTGAAGAGTTTATAGAAGAGATGAGGTTCCAACAGGGGGGGCTTCCTGCTTTGCAGCTCTGTCTCTTAGGGATGGTGTTTGTGACATTTTCCAGCTTGGTTTTATGCATGTTCATTCAGGAGTAAGTCTCAGCATACCTGAAGTAGCTAAATCTTTAGTAAGTATGTTTAGTTTTGCAGCCTCAACATTTGAGCCTCAATCTTGAAGCACAAAACATTTTATACGAAAATGCAGTCTGTAATCATGTAAATAAATAAAAAGATAGCAAAATTTGGGCCACTGTTGTTATCATGGACAGGTACTTAAAAGATTCGCTTGGCAATGGGCACTGTTGTTACATTGTATTTATTAACCATTTAGTTTTATTATATTTGTAATTCTTTGTAATTAATTAAAGTTATTAATTAATGTCATATTAAGGTGATGGAGTGCTTTACAGAATTTGGTAATGATATCAGAGCAGCTCTGCAGCTGTTCCTATTTTTCAGATAAGCAACTGGGAATAAGTGGGGTGACCAAAGCTGCTGAGTTATAATGTGAAACTTGGTTATTATACATTCAATAAGCAAAATAGTCTTTGATCGTATAGGCATTTCTTTGAACAGGCACCAGCCTCTGATTAACCTTCTTAATCAAACCAGAATGTAAATTTAGTTTACCATTACTTCATGGTCTGTAATGAGAGAACCTTATTTGAGTTATTTTTAGTGCAGGAAATACATTATTATAAAGAGGTGTTTGCACACTTCTGGTTAGCACTTTAAAAATACTCTTGGTGGTGTGCTATTTCCCCCTCCCCGGGTTATGCTACAGATGGAATATATCTTTAACAAACTTGTATAGTTCTGCAGAATTAGCAGGTACAACACAGTAGCACAGACATCTTGTATATATGTAGATCACCTCCTGCTCAATGTATCTAGAAAACAGACTTGCCAAGTGAAGTGGATTTAAGATTTTGCTTTTAATTACTCTTTAGGCTGTTTTAATGCACCTGTAATTGTGCATTCAGGTATGTGGGTGTAATTGGAATTCTGCATCTCGAGGCATTGAAAAAAACCTGTGGGTGTGATTTGAATGCATGACTTCTCTCTCTCTAGGACTTCAGGCTTTCTCAGTCATATTCTATCAGATTCAGAAGCTCTTACTAATTCTCTTTAGAGACTATGACAATCCTAACTGAATGTTAACTAATTTTAACTTTGTGCTTCACAGGTACCACATGCCAAATATTAAAAGAGCATTGTTTTTATGATCGTTAAGATTATCGAATGGCCTCTACCCTCAGCTCTTTAGGTTTAGTTATTTCTATATATCTGGATTCTTTATACTTTAGGCCAAAATTATTTAGGCTTGACTTGGCTAAGATGGACAGGTTTTCTGACTGTCAATGGGAAAATCTAAATTATAACCTAAACAGTACTAGATGGGAAGCAGCAGACAGTAATTTTTTTGGCAAAGGAGTAATACTCTCTCAAGGTCTGCATTAATGGGTGGCACACACTTACAGTTCTTACACACTTGCAGTTTATTGCACATGTAGATGATTTCTGCCTTTTTTTAATCGATACAGCTATCACCTGCTGATTCCTTCCCCAGTCACTAATCCAGTTTAGAATTTACACATTGCTCATCAGGGTGTGTGGGGAAGAGAGCCCCATTAGGCTAGTTCATTTGCTTCTGCTAGAACGCCAGTTAGTTGAATTCAGGCCATTAGTTTTTAATCTTTTATTTGTACGCCACTTTTCCAAAGTTAAAACCATGCTCAAGGCAGCTTACAACAACAAAAAATACATAACTAGAAACATAACAAAAGTAGTCATAAACACAGTGTTAAAAATTAAGATATATAAGGTAGGTGCCAAATAGCTCCTTAACCCAAGGTTGCAGTCGCCAAAATGAAATGTCTAGTTTCCATTTTTGGGCAAGACGGTTCTAAAGTCTTATTTTTCAAATGATGGACTGATTGATTCTCAGTTAAACATCTGTCATTGAGCTTGAGCTAGGTTAAGAGCTTTGAGAACTTAAAGAAGAAAAGTCACTTGATCAAGGGACAGCGTATATATATTGGCCTATTCCGACCTCTCTTTTTTTAATGATGTCTGCTCCTGCTCAGGCTGCACAGAAAAAGCAATTTGGTTCCAGAAATTCATTCCGATTGTGCAGATAAAATATAACTGATAGAATTTTACAGGATGAGGTATTCGGGTGCGGAAACAGTCCAGATCCAGTGATCCCCAGATGATGGAGATGTCAGGCGCCATCCTAGCCCCCAAGCGTCTTCACTTGGTCACAAGTGGTCGAAAGCCAACTGCAAGATGCGCCTGGCTAATTTCGAACACCACATAAACAATAAACACAACATATGACAAAATCGAACAATTTCCACATAAATCATAAGATACAAAATAAAGGTACAAAAAATTAACAGCAACAACCCCCTCTAAACAATACTCCAGCCGAGGATTCTGTTCTGCAGCCTCAGCGTTTGTAACTGGAGTCATTCAGGGCCCCGCCCTCCCAGGTCAGGTAGAAAAATGCTTCCAAGGCAGGGAGCAGGTCTCTGAGGATGGGTTCAATTTATGAAAAACATTCCTATATTGAGTTCTCACCGGTAATGTCCAGGAATTGCTATCCATGTTGTAACATTTTCCTGCTCCTGCTCCACAGGCTGCTGCTTGTGGGGTGGGGAAATGGGCAGTGTGGTGATGTCATAAGGCAGGAACAAATAGATCTGTGACATCCAATGTAACCCTTCAGCATTAGGCTGCTAGTTGGCAGGATTTTCCTAATATATGTGCTTCCATGACTGAAATTTAACAAGTGGAAGGGCTAAAATTCAGCTTTGACCATTGTGCATTGATGTCTAGCAATTGTGTGTTAGACGTCGGGTTGGTTCCATACCAAGTTAGCTCAGCTTGGGTCTTGCTGAAATCAGTGGGACTTGGGTTCAGGTAACTTGATCCTGACGCAACCCATAGTATGTGACATACTGTGCATCTTTGGTTGGTAGGCTTTGTGAAGTCTTAGAATCATTTAATTGTAGAGTTGAAAAGGGACCCTGAGGTCTTTTGATTCTGTGGTTTTGCTTTTGGTGTCAATTTACAAATATGACATGAAGGAATACAAATATTAAAACAGTTGCATTTGATTTTTTAAAAATCACTATTGGGACAGAAGAAGAATCAGAAGAAGAAACTTAAATGTCTTCCTTTTTAAACTTAAATAATTAGTAGGAACACAGCCTTCTTCAAAGCTTATACATGCTGCAATTTAAAGACCACATGAATGTGTTTTTCTCAGTAGCAGGATCTGGGCACAGCCCAATTTATTGAAAGATAGTGTAGTTTAGTGCATTGTGTTATGGCTCAGGTCAGCTTAGGCAAGGAAGAATAAGTTGCACATGAATACATACTGGAAGTTGTGCCTGTCAGGAGTTCAGTGGTGGCTGATGCCCATTGAGTTTGGTAGGGCGGAGCAAGAAGTCAGAGGCCAAGGGTAGGTGGAGCCAGAGGCAATGACTAGCAGACTCAAACGATTAGAGTTTTGTCCCCATTCTCCCTGCCGAGTTCTACAAGGGCAACACAAGAGACTAAAGTGGAGGATGCAGGCAACAAAGGCCACCACCTTGGACCGGATGTAAGAAAGAAGGCATATGTGGTGGGGGAAGCAATGGTTGAGGGCAAACATAGGCTGCTGGTTCAGTGCTCCATTCTCCCTGCAAACCAGCCTCCATTGTCAGGGCCGGCTCTTCACACAATGCCTAAACTAGTAATTCTGGAGCTTGATTAATTTTGTAGTTAAGGTGTCATGCTCTTGTTTTACAAAAGTATAGATAATCAAAAGAAGCACGATGTGCTACAACATTTTTACTGTAGATTCCATTGGGCTGGGATACTTCATCTTCCCTATTACTTCTGTATCTCTGTTTTGTAAAGTGCTGTGAAACATGGATGGTTGAATGACTTTTGCCAATTCTTTCTATTGTCTCTTTTCTTGCAGTTTCAAATGAGGTGCCTGAGCATCCCTGTGTGTCTCCTGTCTCAAACCATGTCTATGAGAGAAGGCTGATTGAAAAGTATATTGCAGAGAATGGGACTGATCCAGTGAACAACCAGCCACTGTCTGAAGAGCAACTCATAGATATCAAAGGTGAGGAAGGACAGAAGAGTCAGAGGCACTGGAGTCTCCCTTGTGTTTGATAAACAGTTGAGTGTGGAGTTGCCAATCTTAGTCTTCTCCTTTTAAGACCTTGGGTGGCAGGGAATTCTTGAAACCTGATTGCTGACTGATAAATGGTGTTGTGCTTGAACAATTGGTCAGAGATGACAGAGTCTGACAATACCTGAAGAGCACATTAGTTACCCCTGTTCTAGGCTATGCTGAAACCAGGATGTCTTACCATCACTGGCCATGCTGGTTGGGGCTTATGGAGTTGGAGTGTAGGACCATCTAGAGGGCCACAGCTTACCCACTTTTGCTTTTAACCCAAGAGCCATCTGCATACTCACCTCAGTAACATCAGCATCTATGTCCTCCCACTTGTCTTGCCGCTTCAGCAAAACTCCCTCTACCCCCAGCTCTTTCTTCTCCTTAGCTTGCTTGTGGTTCCGTCCATCTGACCCACAATCCCTGTGGCCTTCTGCTCCCCCCACAGTTCACTTTTTCGACTTCTCAATGCATGGATGTCATGAGCAATGGATAAAGGCAAATAGATGGTTGTTGAATTGCAGTGGTTAAAAAAGCTTGCAAAAGGCATGTGCCTTTTGAACCATTCTTCCAAGCAGCCTTGATTTTAAAGGCGTGTAAGGCAGGTTTGTAAGGATAATAATGGACGACTCTTTCTGGAAGTAATGCTTTCTTGTTCCTTTGTAATCCCCAGTTGCCCACCCAATTCGGCCAAAGCCACCATCTGCTACTAGCATTCCAGCCATTCTAAAGGCACTTCAAGATGAATGGGTAAGTATCTTTAAAATATATATATTGGGGGGCTCCTCTTCTGCTTGCTGAGATGATGGAACTAGAAATGTTCTCCTCTGTGTCTTAAGGCATTCCTCCCTGCTTTCAGCCATCCTTAATAGTGGAAGGAAGCAAGAATGTTCAGGACTGGAAAGTTTTGGGAGGAAGGAGACTTCTAAGCCAGGAGTAGTTTGCTCCTCAGAAAAAATCAATACAGCACAATGTTTTGGCCAGATATTCAAGAAACTACTCCGGTGTCTAATGCAATATGGCCTAGCTGTTGCTGTGCCAAAGGTCAGTTACTATGCTGATGTGCTTCCTTAGGATGCTGTCATGCTGCACAGTTTCACGCTACGCCAGCAGCTGCAAACTACACGTCAGGAATTGTCCCATGCACTATACCAGCATGATGCTGCCTGCCGTGTCATTGCCCGTCTCACCAAAGAGGTCACTGCTGCGAGAGAAGGTAAAGACTCAGAAGATGATATGTTCTTTGGGTGATGTCCAGGGAAGCAGTCACAGTGCCACCTTTAACCTGCCAAACCACCTTATCTCTCTCTCTTCCCAGCTTTGGCAACTCTGAAACCCCAGGCTGGCCTTATCGTTCCCCAGGCTGTACCTTCTTCACAACCCAACGCTGTGGTAAGTCACACACATGTATCGGTCAATAATTCTCTTTGTGCTCTGTCTTTCTCCTCTGGGCTAATCATGCTCTTTGTTGTCTTCCTGCAGGGTGCTGGTGAACCAATGGACTTAGGAGAGCTGGCTGGAATGACCCCAGAGATTATCCAGAAGGTAAGAAATATCCCTGGTTTGCTATTTGCCATCTAGATCATGCTATAGCTATACAGTTACGATCTTCCAATCTGAGCTCTATAGCTGGCTTTGTCTGTAGGAACATGCCACTTCCACACTGTTGTGCCTTCCCTTTCTACATTACGGCTGCAGTGTCTGACAGGTCAATGAGTTGCAGCTTCTTCCGCTCTCCTGCTTTTCAGGAATCACTGATAGCACCCTGGCTGGCAGAGCAAGCAGAAAAGGGTGGGCAGACAGATGCAATAGCCTCATCTCTGTCCTGGGGCCATTCCCCAGCAGCAACAGGCAAAAAGTAGAGTGCTTGTCCCCTGCAGCATTGTCCCCTGCTTATTGATGTGCTAGCATACCATGCTTGAAGCTGGCTTCTCCTAATGCTGTTCTCTTTTTGCAGCTTCAAGACAAAGCCACGGTGCTGACCACGGAGCGTAAAAAGGTGAGTGCTCCTATCTCAATATTTGCTCTACAGGCGGGGAAGCACGGAGTGATCCAGGGGTGCTTGCAGTATGTTTGTTCTCATGATTGCTGCAAAGGTGCAGCTCCCTGTGCTAGGATGCTCCTGTTACAAGGAGATTAGTTCTATGTTGTCTTTTTGGCAGAGAGGGAAGACTGTGCCGGAGGAGCTGGTGAAGCCGGAAGAACTCAGCAGGTACCGGCAGGTGGCTTCACATGTGGTGAGTATGGTGATCATAATTAATTGGGAAGGCTACCATCTCATCTAAGCCGAACATTTCCTAGGTTTTACCAAAAAAAACTGTTGAGCATCCTCTCTCTAACTGAACAACTCTGCACTAGTTATCCATTGATCTAAGCCTAGGGTAGAGAACCATGACAGGCTACTTTGACAGATGGGCAGGATTCCACTCACCTGTCAATCACCTGATGTCAGGTGACAAGCAAGACTTGAAAGCACCACTGACCGGAGCTGACTTGAAATCTGTTTTCTGTAGGGGTCACCCAATGCTGGAGGGCATGCTGTCTCCACCTACCATCTGATACATGATGACAGCAACCCTTCTTTGCCAATGAACAATTAGGAGTACACTTTAAGGCTCTCTGTTGTGAATTGGAAGCTGCATCTCTGCCTGCCTCACACCTGATCTCTTATATGGCAGGCTTGGACTGGAGGTTTTCCTTGTCTGCTGGAAGTTTAACCATATTTTGCAACATGCTGGCCTTGAGTGTAAAGGCTCTGAGCTCTTGGACCTCTGTTGCCTCCTCCAGCCTTTCCAAATTAACAATACTGTGCTGCTTTTGCAGCTGAAACCAAACTGGTGTTGCTCTTTGCTACCAGCTTCTCTCTTGATTCTGGAACAGCTTCAAGCTCACTTACCATTTGATTGCACAAGGAAAGTAATTGATCTTGCTATTGATACCAGGATCACCACCGTTCTTTCATTACTTTTGCTGTGGGCTTGGAGTCGAGTCTGCAGATTCCTGTCAAATCATGAGGAAATATTGCTTGTTCTATCAAGGATACAAACTGGGAAAAGTTTGGGATCAAGCCAAGTGTTTGCAGACACTCCTCTTGTATAAGATGAGTCGTTTTGCCTGACTCTTGTTGAGATGAAGCAGTAGGCCCTCTCTCATCCTTTGCACTGAAACGTTAATGTCAACAATGTTGCTTTTGCACAGGGACTGCACAGTGCCAGTATTCCTGGCATCCTTGCTCTCGACTTGTGTCCTTCTGACACCAACAAGATCCTCACAGGTATGTTAAGACTTCTGTTTCAGTTCCTTTCCTCAGTAAAGTGTTAGGACAGTTTGAGCCATGGGGTCCTTTGCTCTCTTCAAAAGCCACCTCTTCTCCTTTGGTTTCATGCTTGGGTTTGCATGTAGGTATGGGCAGATTAACCTATTTTCATTCCGGGTTACTTTTGCTTGTGGTTGATCTTGGGTCTATCCTGTCTGGGGTTTTGTAGATTAAAATGAAACTACAAAAACATTTCAGATATTATATACATTTGTCCTGTAAAATACTCATTTCTGTATGCTTTCCAATACATTTCTCCCTAAAATACTCATTTTTCTATGAATTTTGTTTTTGCAATGCATGAGTCCCAATACAAGATGTGCTGAAGGAGTGTAGGGCGCTCTCCTTCACTGGGCCTTTGTGGTCTCTTTGTTTTCCAGGTGGAGCTGATAAGAATGTTGTTGTCTTTGACAAGACCTCAGAGCAGATCCTGGCCACACTGAAAGGCCACACCAAGAAGGTCACCAGTGTAGTCTTCCATCCTTCCCAGGTAAAGACTGTCATTTGTTGCCTGCCTCATTCCCTCCACCCCCACGCCCCTTATTTATATTTATTAAAATATTTAATATAACTTTAGCGTGTTGTTGAATTTCCTCTGCAGTTGCCTGAAACCATTGTATAATCTCCCTTGAGGTCCCCTTATAGATAGAGAATGCACTCCATAGGTCGCTTCTTGAGCTGGTGATTAAGGACACAACTGTTCTGAATTCAATAAACAAAGCTCTTGTTTCAGCCTAACACTTTGGGCTTGATTCGCTCTCCCCTGCAGGAACTGGTGTTCTCGGCTTCGCCGGATGCTACTATCCGGATCTGGTCAGTCCCCAGTGTTTCATGTGTGCAGGTTGTGCGTGCCCATGAGAGTGCCGTGACAGGGCTGAGTCTCCATGCCACAGGCGATTACCTACTGAGCTCCTCTGATGACCAGGTGAGATCGAAACCAGAGGTGGTCAGGCCCAGATTGTGTTAACTGTAAAGCTCTTCATGCGAAAATGACATCTGCAAAATGTGAAGCTGCACTTGCATATTTGCTTATTAGCTTTATTTTAAACATTTCTATCTCATTTTTTAACATAACAATTCCTCCAAAGTGGTTCACACTTTAGAGATAACAATTAATAAAACAATCTAGTTCACAATGAAAAGGTACAAACATTGACATTTTTTTAAAAAATCCAAAACATAAAACAGTAAGGGTTTGTCAAAGAAAGCTTTCCAGAAGAAACATTTTGCCATATACAAACCCTCCACCTTTCCTCTCTTTCAGTATTGGGCTTTCTCTGACATCCAGACAGGTCGTGTTCTCACCAAGGTCACAGATGAAACTTCTGGCTGCGGTAGGGGCTCTGCATTTGGTATTTTGGTGAAACTTGCTTGGGAGAGGGGAGAGTCTGCATGTTTAGTGTGGTCTTGTTTTGCCATAATGTTAAACCATAGTTTAGTGTTCTGAGAACAAGCATAGCTTTCCTCCAGCCTTGTTCACTCCCCCTCCAGTACAGCCTCGAGGAGGAATCCAAAAACTGCTGCTTCTGCACAGCTTGCAGTGTTGGCTGAACCTGGACAAACTGAGTTGTCACGACTGTGGCTAATGGAAACAAGTTAATATCAAGTAATAGTTTATTTGCTTATTTCAGCTGAGCTTATTTAAGATTAATCACAGTTTAGCATGTTGCACAAACTCTAAACTGTGGTTAATCTAAACCAGAAGTGGCAGCTTCTAGTCTCCTTATGATTGCACTGGGGAAGAAGGGAGACTTTAGATGAGCCTTGTGCGGAGGGCTAGGCTCATTCTCATAAAGCTGAACCATAGATTAGCATTATTCCCAAGCACAGCTCATGCTTTGATACACGGGTGGGAGAAGGCTGGGTAGGGACTTCATTTTCCCATAGGAATGGCTTTCTCTCAGCTTTGTAATGATTCACTATCTCTTTTCTCTGCAGCGCTGACCTGTGCCCAGTTTCATCCTGATGGGCTTATTTTTGGAACAGGAACAATGGACTCTCAGATTAAGATCTGGGACTTGAAGGTGAGAAAAGGCTTGGAATATTGAGCTCCTTCATGATATCTACCTTAAGGATAGCTGATAATGTTATGTGACGCATATAGAATATTCCCAAGTGCTTTATAAATGCTGACTCCTTGTCCATATTATTGAATGAGAAATTGCATAAAAGCTAGGCTTGCACAGTCATTTGAGATCTCAAAAGCCTGCTCTGCAATAACTCAGAACAGGGCTTTTGACATGACTGTCCCAGTTCTGTGGAAGAGCATTCCTGTTGAGATATGACAGCCACATGCTATCTGCACTTTTTGGGGAAAATGGAAGACATTTGTGTTCCAACAGGCTTTCCCAGGTGGATAAATGGGTATTTGCCGGAATGACTACTTGTTAGGGTTTTAGTCTTGTTTTAAATGTATTTGTTGTTTTTGTTGTTTTAACTGCTTTTGATTATATTATGTATAAATTGCCTTGAGACAGTGGTTTAGAAAGTAATTGATAGACATTGATTATAATGGTACTAATATGAGCAAGGAATACTCAAGAGGTGCTACTACTGCCCATTCTAGAGTTGGAACTATATTTAGAATAGCCAAAGATTCTACTACTATCTTCTAGATATCTCCCGTAGTTTTTGTTAAGTGAATGGTGCCACAGACCGCCTGAGTGGGTTACGCAAACCCTCTGGGGTCCACAGACCACCAATTAGGAACCACTGAGTTAGAGACATCTCACACAGATGTCATGAGAAAGTGGTGCTTAAATTTTCTATACAATTTCATCAAGAGTCTTCTAGGGCCCCTACTGCAAGTTCTCCCACATCAAAAGATTCATTTTAGTTTTGCCACTGAAAACTCTTTGGAAGCACTTCATCTTTTCTTTCAGTGACTCTTAACCTCTTTTGGGGTCCACGCTGTGGGTTAAACCACAGAGCCTAGGACTTGCCGATCAGAAGGTCGGCGGTTCGAATCCCTGTGACGGGCTGAGCTCCCATTGCTCGGTTCCTGCTCCTGCCAACCTAGCATTTCGAAAGCACACAGTGCAATGAGATAAATAGGTACCGCTCCGGCGGGAAGGTAAACTGTGTTTCCGTGCGCTGCTCTGGTTCGCCAGAAGCGGCTTAGTCATGCTGGCCACATGACCCAGAAGCTGTACGCCGGCTCCCTCGGCCAATAAAGCGAGATGAGCGCTGCAACCCCAGAGCCGGTCACGACTGGACCTAATGGTCAGGGGTCCCTTTACCTTTATCGAAAGACCAGTTTTAATTACCTGTCTACCTGAAAGTTGCTATCACTTCCGAAGAGGAGCCAGACTCAAAATGCCATGCAGAAAGTATGTCACAGGGAGGATAAACTCACTCTCTTATTCACTGTGCAGGCAGGGAAGGTGTAGAAGCTTTGCATCCTTTGGGAAGATAGGATCAGGCCTAACATGTCTCTAACACATACTGACTTGTTTTTCTCAGGAAAGGACCAATGTTGCAAACTTCCCAGGACACTCTGGCCCTATTACTAGCATTGCCTTCTCTGAGAATGGGTATTACCTGGCCACTGCTGCTGATGACTCCTCTGTCAAACTCTGGGATCTGCGCAAACTGAAGAACTTTAAGACCCTGCAACTGGACAACAACTTTGAGGTTTGTGTGACCCCCTCTTGCTCTAGTAGGCCTGTATTCCTTCCCTCTCTTTTATTGACAGCACTTGGAATTTTCTCAGGTTCCTCCCCATCATTTTAAATCCCAGTGCAACCATTTTCTCTACACTTTTGGCAGCTCTCTGAACCTTGCGCAGCTGCTTCCTCTAGTTTGGCGCGCCTCCTTTAAATGGACAGAGGTTGCTACTGCCCCAGCCTGAGAGGACTGGGCCCAGCTACTTCTGAAGTGGATGTGTTCATCTCAAATACCATTTTTCTCTTTAGGTGAAGTCCCTCATATTTGACCAGAGTGGCACCTATTTGGCCCTAGGTGGCACTGATGTCCAAGTCTACATCTGTAAGCAATGGACGGAGGTTCTCCACTTCACAGGTAAGGGAGGTCCTGTGTGCCATTCTTGAGGGGCTTTATATTCAGACATTGGTACTGTTGGCCAGTATCACTGTTTGTGGTGTGTGAGGTGACAAAACAATGAAATAATTTCTCACTCAACTGTCTTTGTTTCCTTTCCTACAGAGCATAGCGGCCTGACCACAGGAGTGGCCTTTGGGCATCATGCTAAGTTCCTTGCTTCGACAGGCATGGACAGAAGCCTGAAATTCTACAGTGTGTAGTTTCTCCTACCAGGATGCAATGAGAGCAGAGCCTATTCTTCACTGTAGTGTTAAGATAATCGGGGCAACCATGGGGCACATGGGTGGGGGTGGGAGGGATATGGGGGGAAATAGGGTGCATCATAGCTTTTTATCTTGGTTCAGGCTACCTGTAGAATGGAAAGTTGAGCCCAGTACTAAATGGATTTGTTTTCCTCTGTTCCTTCAGCTTTGTCTGTGCTGTGATTGTAACAATATTGAGCCAAACCCATCCAGTGTTGACCATCAAATGAGGGTTGGTGGCAGGAATTAAGGCTGAAGAAAGGGATGGGGAGATGTGCAGGTTTTTTGTATGCAACTCTCTAGTTTCATTAAAAAAGATTAAACTATTACCATTTAAGTGTCTAAATAAGCAAATGCACAGGGAAGTTGTACCTCTCACACACTCAAGCATAAAAACATTTCAGCCTCACTGACTTAGGTGAGGGTTGGGTTTGTTTTTTTAAGTACTTTCATATCACTAGAAACTTACGTTAACATACTTATCTACCTGTATCAGCAAATGTGGAGAGCAAGACACTTTAGAGAGTGTGGTGTACAGCTAGGAAACTCCCCACCCCCAGCTGGAAAGCTAAGATTTGCTTCACATGTAATCAGGTGTACAGGTTCAAAAAGTTGAAAATAAATTCCTTGATAGTTGAGACAAAGTATGTTATAGCCAACACTAGCTCTATAAAGTAAAGACACAATGGAATGAAATATCAGGCTCTCACTTTCCCCTTTATGCACAAGAAAGTAAACGTAAAAGGGATGAGAATGTATAGTGACAGACCAAAATCTGAAAGTGGGACAGACGTTCCCCTTGCCATGCTAATGAGCTCCCGGTTTGGATGGGAATTTCTAGTTTGTTGTAGCCCCTGATGTTTAACTGGAGAGTAATGGCAAGAATTGTAAGACACTGGAGGGTTGGCCCTGCTTTTATTCCAAGCAGTACTGTGGACCAGTTGTGTTTTATCTTTGGTTGTCACCTATAAGCTTTTCTCTATGTAAGTAATCCATGCAGTGCAGAATAACTTTCAGGGCTACACTACAATTCAACTTCTTGGGAGCAAGCCCTTTGAAACAAGTGGGACTTCTATGTATCTTCAGTATACACTGATCAACATGCATGGAATGCACCATTACCCTCAATTGTTATTAGTCTACATAAGAAGAGGGCTGCTAGATTAGACCAATGTCCCATCTAGTCCAGCATCCTGTTCACAGTGGCCAACCAGGTACTTGTATGAAACCCTCAAGCAGGATCTGTGTGGAAATGGTTTTTTTATTTCATGTTCTGGATTTGTTCTAGATATTTACTCATGCTTTTATTCAAATCCATTCTGTGGAGAGGCATTTTTGTTTCCTCTTGCAGCAGAATGGAGGAACTGGGAATAACAGTTCTACAGATCCAAATATTGACCATGATAGGCACCATTAAGAACACAAAATACAGTGGTACCTCGGGTTACATACGCTTCAGGTTACAGACTCCGCTAACCCAGAAATAGTACCTCGGGTTAAGAACATTGCTTCAGGATGAGAACAGAAATCATGCTCCGGTGGCGCAACAGCAGCGGGAGGCCCCATTAGCTAAAGTGGTGCTTCAGGTTAAGAACAGTTTCAGGTCAAGAACGGACCTCCGGAACGAATTAAGTACTTAACCTGAGGTACCACTGTATTGTATTTCCAGGCTTACAAGCACAAGAAGGGGTCATATGAAGCACTGTCACCAGGGATGGTTCCACTAAAATTATGTAGGTGATGGGGAGGAAAGTGGAGATGCCTTTAACTTGTCAGCAAAGAGACGGCATACCTGGTCATTGAAGCAACTGGTATGTCAGAAGAATTACTGGAAGCAATGAAAGTTTACAACTCTTTAATTCTATGCATTTTCCCATCAGTACTAGAGTTTTGTCACTCTGCTTCTCTTTTTCCAGAGTACGATCACAACAACAAACAAGATTACACCCACTAACGGCAGTGCCACCAAGCATATCAGGGCCACATCTCCACTGGAGCTCATGTCTGTGGAAGAGAAGAGAGGCTTGCACTTATTTTGCAAGATTTATGTACAACTTAAGTGGTTTCCATAAAGTGGTATAGATAATTTTAAAATAGCAATTGAAACTCTAAAAACTATAAATAAAACCAGTAGATTTTTAAAACATACATGATAAAATTACAAGTTCTGTGTAGGCTTGCTCAAACAAAAACATTTTTAACAGACATCATAAGCAGTACAGTGAAGGGTCTGCCCAATATCAATAGGCAATAAGCACTAGAGAACAGAACATAGAAAGCTGCCATCCACAAAGACCGACCATTGGTCCACCCAACTCTGTATTGTCTACATTGACTGGCTGCAGCTCTCCAGGGTTTCAGGCAGGGATGCTCTCCCAACCCTACCTGGAGATGCTAGGGTTTGAACCCAGAACCTTCTGCATGCAAACAAGCTCTGCTACTGAGCTAGGTCCTTCCCCAGCAAGTACTGCTACATGGAAAAATGCCATGCCAAGTGCAGTATGAACACTATGTGGCACTTGTAAGGGTGATAGTTACCGATCAAAGCTGGCACATTCGGGGTATGGCAGTCCTTTGCACCTCCTGAAAACACATTTGTGCCATCCATGACTTCCCAAGCCAAGGACCCATGGTATGTTCTATTGGGACAAAGCTAGTAGTGTATACTCTGAATAAAACCGCATCTGTGAGACATAGTTTATTATGTGCATGTTCTCAAGAGCTGCAGTGGTCAGGGTAGGGTGCTCACCTGAGCCCGTTGCTGCAGCTTGTCAGAAGAAACCATGCTGACAACAAATGGTGTGAGTGCACTTTGCTATTGCCCCATGCCCCACTGATAAGCCATGGTGACACTAGTGATGGGAGGGCAGATAAATGCCACGTGCCCTGCCGAGCAGTACTCCTCACGAGCTAAAAAGTTGTGATATTGTTAGGAGGACATTGGTAGTCAAGTTTATGACTTGTGACACCCCCCTCCCCCCAAGTTTTAGTTGGTTGCTTCAGGCATAAATCCATACAGAGTTTGTATCTTACAAAGGACTATATATAAGATGACTGAAATTTAGTGTTGATGGCAAAACTATGTTAATACCTGTTCAAAAATATACAGCATTTTCATCATTTCAACTCACTCACTGGTCCCATGAATTATTGCAGTTCCAACCACCAATTACCTTTCTTCCATTTGACTTGTTTATCAAGAGTCTGGCTGCTTTCTTGAAAGATCACACCTCCATAAGTGCTTACTAGGTCCAAGGATTCTGTCCCATTGCCTGTCTTCAAAAACCGACGACTTCCTAAAAAGGGAGTTGGAGAAAGAAAGCGGGTATAAACTACTAGGCCACTTTATGCCATATACAATTTTGAAGGTTAAGAAGGAAAAGGAGTACAGCATGGATCATATTGTTAGAGCTGGAAGCCTGCAGGAGGACTATGCCCTAGAAACCCCTTTATACACCCAATGACTAGAGACAGATACAACCCTTTAAAAAACAAGTATTTGAATTCTGAATGCTTTACCCCAGTAAAGAACCATAGCCAGACCCCTACACATCAGGACTGAAGCTTTATTTGGGGGGGGTGTTGCTGAGCCCCAGCATCACATATCAGCAGGCCAGCACTGCTAAGTGGGAAGATTCTGCAGAGATGGATCTTCATTTGAGGTTAGGAGTCAGAGCACCTGGTTGTTGGAGTGTCCTTGTATATGGACTGTTAGAATTGGTGGTATGTGCCAGCAGCCTAGTTTCAAGGTTTGCGAAGAGAGGCAATATGCTGTTAAAAATAGCACATAAGAGCCACTTGAACAGGGAGTGTGTTTACCAGGTACCTATTCATTCATACTTTGTCTCTAGTTGCAGCCCATCAGCTCTTAGTGCTCTGCATTTATGCCCCCAGTTCCAAGTACAGTACCAAGATCTATTTTTGTTTATTAGTCATGGGCAGTAAGTGCCATTTGTGCATGCTGGAAATACTGGTGGCAGCCTATCTGGATTCAAATAAACCTTTTACGGTACGACAGCAAAGCCATTTGGACTTACTTGCAGCCACTGGCATTTGACACGTGTTCCTGCAGGGCTGCAGGTGAGAGGGGTGGCAAACAGACAGACTGCAGAAGAGGTACACCTAGGAAAGACATTGCATTTGATAAGCTTGCTAGCAGAGGAGTCAACCCAAGTCTTCCAAGATATTATAATAAAATCCTCATGGACGTAAACATTTACAAAGTACATTATCTCCTTACAGTTAAGGCATAATTCTAAATGTGCATTAATGGGAATGGGAGGGGAACCTCTGGCACACGGACCTAATCTTTAAGCTTGCCAAGCCTCCTAGTTTTGCCCCACTGCCATGCCCACCTGCCGCTCACCTGACAAGTGAGGGACATGTAAAACATGCTGCAAAGGAACATTAAGAGTGTTCTCCTGACGGTTCCTTTGCCAGTATGGCTTGCATTCAAGTAGAATTAAATTCAGCACCATTTCAATTTGGCACCTAATGCAAGCCATGCCGCCTAGGGTCAGATCCACTCAGGGACTCTTGACTGCAGCTTACAGGGGGATCAGATATTTGCCCAGAGCAAGATAGCTTGCATTTTGAGATAAATTTAAACAGCTGAATTCAGCATTCATCCTACTTCTGCTCATGTGCCACAGAGCACCTGACTGAACCTCATGGACCACTTAAGGTCTGCAGACCACAATTTCGGAGCCCTTACTTGAGCTCAGCTGCAGTAGGAATTCTGTCTCTTACCAATCCATCCAGCACCATATAATGGGCAGAATCCACAAATGTAAATGTAGCAATGGTGAAACGCTGGTAATGGTCTGGAAACTGCAGCTGAGATGTGGCAGGCCCCATAGGAACCATCTGGGTTCTGTAATTATCGCCTTCAAATGGGCACCTAGGGAAAAGAGGCATTGCCATTTGAGCAGAGAACAGTAGGTGGCAATCCATAGAGAGAAACCAGCAGAATTCCTCCTTCCTACTTGACTCACCCATCTATCAGAATTGGCCACTGCAGCTTCTCAAGGGGGTTAGGGGTCGGAGTAGCCCAGCATTCATGAAGAACCAGAACCAAGGACGGGTCCATTCTCTGCAGGACGCGAACCTCCACATACACAGGGTCTCTCAGTATCTTCACCACAGGATAGTCTGCATCCGCGTAGTAGGAGCTGTAACTGTAGTCTGGGTACAAGAGGCAAAGTGAAAGTTAGCACCTATACGGGACTTCAGAGTGAGCTCTGTTGGAACCAGAAGCTTTGGAAGCACACCTACCTGTAGCAATACGCAGTTCAAACCGGAGAGGCCCCATCTCGATAACCGGAGCAGGTGTGGGAGGAAAGAAGACTTCAACCTGAACTGGCAAGAAGTCAGTGGCATTGAAGATGCAGCGAGTATTGAGGCTGCATATGGAAGACAGGACAGCGGAATGATGCATAGTCTTGCCATGTTCAGTAGCCTTGTCACATATCTGAAGTTCTCAAAAGATTCTTACATTTTCCTGGCCACTTAGGCAGCACATCTTTTTTGATGCATATATCCCTGTTAACACCTCTTTCAAACAATACTGGATGTGACTTAAATTACTGTCTTCCAAAAGCACTGTTGGTTGAAACCACACTTTTAAAAAACCACAATTTTCCTCCACATGTCTCATTTTTGAAGCAAGATTACTCACTTGAGCACCTGAGTGATTGTGCTTATGCACCTGAAAAGTAGTTTGCAACCAACAGCTGTTACCCTACTGGAAAATCCAAATTACAGTCATACCTTGGAACCCGAACGTCTGACGCAGCTTCCGATTGGCTGCAGGAGCTTCCTGCAGCCAATTGGAAGCCACGCCTTGGTTTCTGAACATTTTGGAAGTCGAATGGACTTCAAGAACAGATTCTGTTTGACTTCAACAGAAACCACTGTACTTCAGAAGACTGCTATTCAAGCTTAGCAGTGCTAGGAACAGTAGGCCTGCCCTGATTAGGACCAGTATGACGCCTCTTAGACATAGTATAGAGAGCAACCACCACCTCAGTAATGCGTGGGAGAGATCAACTTACATGAAGGTGCTGTCCCGGGTAATAAAACCATCTGGCCCCCTTAAGATTTCAACGCCTGAAACCAACTGGTTTTCATATATCAGTCTGCCACCAGTCATCTAGGAAGGAACAGAAGCACATGTATAATTCTTTTTATCAAGCTTCAAGGTCCAGATGAAGGGACACTTGCCTAAGATGCGTCCTCACCTGAATCGTCGTACCACAGTGTGTGAGAGGGAAGTGGAAGACCAAGAAAGACTCCGTTTTCCTGACAGGATCACATCCTCCTTGGGCATAGGACAGTTTGACACTGTCAAGGACGATGGGGTAGTCCAACATATCCCTGGAGACAACCAGAATGAAGTGGCCATCTCGAAGGCATTGAACAGTGACTGCAAAGCACAAGCACAACACAAGAGTCACAAGCTGGAATTTGCCATCTTTTGCAGAACCTGAAACACTCAAGTTTCAAAAGAAATATGAGTTTTCTGTCTTCTCCTTGCACAAATCTGGGGCAGGCTCTATTCGGATTGAGGGGAGGACTTCATTTTTCAGCTGCCCTAAAATGTCAGGAGACAAGTTCTCTATTTGCTGCTAAGTCACACAATTCCTATTAGGAAATGCTCACAGGTGTTGGTTTCTCCATATGAATCAATATACAATTGACACTGCCAGTAGAGGAAGAATTGGTTTCACGGGACAGAGAGAGCCCTAACCGTGACAGCTCTAGATACTGTGAACCTGCAGCATGAGCCCAGGTTCACAGGTTGCACTATAGCCATATTAAGCTGTCCACTGAATTGCAACATCACATTTCTCCAGACGATGGACATGCAATGGTACACAATTTGTTTTCAGAATTTTATACCTTCAGACATCGCTTTATACACCAGCTTGTTAAAGTTATACACACAGAAGTTACAATTGCACCATTGCCCACTGAAAAATAAAAATAAAATTGGTTCTTCAAGAAAAAAAACAAAACCAGCAGGTACAGGAGACAAGAAAGGGGAAAGAACAATAAAAATATTCTTCAAATCCCTTCCCTCAGGATATGGTCTCCACATCCTGCCATGCCTATGTGTGGAAGGTACTGTTTTATGTTTTTCTGAGATGGACGATGGCTTTCTGTGTTTGGGAGGCAAGAGGAGGGGTAGAATCTGGAATTTGGAGGCAACTCTCCCTCTGTCTATCTGGCTGTTTTTGGCCCTGGTGAGATGCTCCTCAGAGGGTTGGTGGCTCTCTGGTGGGGTAACCACACACAATTTTTGAAAATGTGGTTTTGGCAAAATGGGTAAAAAACCCCACATGCTGTTCAATTTAAAAAAAAAAACCCACACATTTTGGCCACTGTGAAACATGCTTAAATGTTTGTTTGGTAGAGGTCTGTTGTTGCACAATTTCACAGACAAAATATTTCCTTATAAAATATCTGCATGCATGCCCCGAATGACCTGAGATTTCTAGAGCTTCCAGAGAATGAATGAATCTTTATTTGCATCAGCCACCAGCCATAGCAATAAAACACACAGTATGATATACAAAGAGAGCAGGAAGTAGAAACAGAGGGAACCCCACCCCACAGCACAAATGAATCCCTTCAAGCAGAGTTTAGAACCCTGAAGAGCCTGGAACGGGAAGGTAACTCAAAGTAACCCCAGCTAGCATGGTATAGAAGCTGTTTCTACCCCACTTAATAAGGACCAATTTAGATGTTCTTATTGTGCAGTCACGATGATTTACACTCATGATGCTACCGGAGCAGTCACATGCAGCCCAGCTTTCAATACTATTTGTGCCAAACAAAAATATTTGGGGGGGGGGGGAGTCATACTGCTTCATTTGCAATCATTGCATGCCCTGTAAATTCCTGTTGAAATCCCGGGTCTCTCTTCATACCATAAATGTTATGAGTTTTGTTGTTGCTTCATAGGCCCCTCCAGACAGCAATAATGTGGTAGCGTCAGGGAAGCACCACAAAGCAACATGAAACCATCACTAGTCCACTATTATTGTGTCAAGAACATGGTACAAAATACACCCGTAATAAAACACTAGCCTGGTGGAGCCTTTGAGCAGTACTATACAGTGGTACCTCCGGATGCGAATGGGATCCGTTCTGGAGTCCCATTCGCATCCAGAAGCGAGCGCAACCCGCGTCCGCGGGTGCACGGGTCGCTGCTTCCGCGCATGTGCGTGACGTCATTTTGACCGCATGCGCAAGCGGCAAAACCTGGAAGTAACACACTCCATTACTTTCGGGTCACTGCAGCACACAACCCGAAAATATTTATCCCGAAGCTACTTCAACCCGAGGTATGACTGTATAGTATCCTGGTTCGTGCTGCTTTGAACTGTGCTGGATACATTTTCATCCTGCTAGCCTCTGGATTCTCAGCAGTAGCCAGCACAGGACAGAATCCCAGGGTGGCTTTTAGTGTCAGGTGTATTGAACTCAGCATGGCTGGGAGTGTGGGAGTCATAAAGCCACGGCAAAGGCTTGTAATATTGCAGGGTGCCCCCTGACCTCGGCTGACCAGCACTCTGAGCTTTACAATGTATTGGAATGTATTGGAGCTGTGTTTCCTCTGGGCAGTGATTGACCCTATAAGGTGTTGAGGGCAATAAAAGCCTTGACCGGATGAGGTAACGTGAGACACTGGCAAACAGCCATGCGGCTGGAGAGAGACAAAGGAATAAAGAAGTTTGCAGGAGGAGGAGAGGGAAGTTCGAAAGGAGCTGCTCCTACCATCATGAAAATATTGCTGGCTCTCTGTGTCATAATTTTATGCTAAACTTCGCCACTTTGTAACGGCTGGATCCGACAAGTGGTGCCCCGTGTGAGGCTGAATAAAAGAATACGTCTGAGGACTAAGAAGAGGTAACTTAAAGAAAACAGTCTGAGGCAGACTGAGGCTTTTAAAAGGAAACCATGTGAGGTTTATCAATCCTAGCAAAGGATATCATCGGCTCACTACGCCCGGAAAGGGTTTCAAGCGCTAATCATCTTAAAAAGATCCCGGTGAGTCCGATCCCTTTTCATCTTTTATATATTGATTTTAGAAAAATGGGCAGCTCTCTGTCTGCTCCCCAACAGAAATTTTTAAAAGACTTAAAATTTCTCCTCTCCTCCAACGAATTGGAAGTTCCGGAGGGTGATTTAATACAGCTCATTCTGGCTATCAAAGAGCATTCCCCCTGGTTTCCTGCAGATGGGACTTGGGAATTAAAACTTTGGGACAAGATCGGGGAACATTTTCATGGGCACCCCAGCATAAGTGTTTGGATTTTAAATGCATGGTGCAAGGTTCGTTACGCCATGGGCTCTTTATCACCAAAAAATATCTCTATGGCTGCATTGCCAACACAACCTTCAGCTTCTTTAATTCAGCCTGCTGTGTTAGAGACTGTTCCAATACTTGTTTTGCCAGCAGCTCCAGACCCCAAACCTCCGGACTACAGTTCCTCACCAGAGGACCCAATCCTGCAAAAATACCGTGGTCTGGCTGGCAATGATCCTGCTCTTTCAGAGGCAGAACCAGAACCAGAACCTTTTCAACGTGCAGTCCTTGGCTGTTCCTTAATTCAGGATACTATGGCACTCCCTGTTATTGTGCCCCCTGCTGGTGCCCCAGCAGGCACCCAAGCCCAATACCAACCTTTTGACTTTAAGATTTTGAGAGAGCTGCAACAGTCAGTAAAGGCCAATGGACTCCAAGCTCCATATACGCAGGCGCTTTTAGAAGCCACATTAGCCCAGCTCTTGGTTCCAGAGGCCCATACAGTGTTGCCCCCATCAGCTGGTGTTTTGTTTGCCCACGAATGGGAAACTGCCTGCCGTGCTTATGCTCCAGCCTTGTTACAACAAGTCAGAGGAAATAATCCAAATGTTACCCTCGCAGACGTCTTAGATGCCATGTTGGGGCGTGGTCCCTTCGCTCAAGCTTCAGTGCAAGCCACACTGCTGCAAATCTTATTGAGGGACACTGCTCTTGCTGCTAAACAAGCAATAAGAAAAATCCCAGAACCCACCAGTATTCAGTCAAGGTGGGGTTCAATCAGGCAAGAGGCAAGAGAATCATATTCTTCCTTTATGGACAGGCTGTTTACAGCAGTGAGTCGCCAAATTGAAAATCCTGAAGCCAAACAAATAATTATCAAACAATTGGCCTTTGAAAATGCCAATGAGGATTGTAAGGTTGCGTTACGACCGATAATACACAATCCTGCCACAGACACAGCAGCCATGCTTCGCATTTGTCAGTCTGTAGTTACAGCCACCCACAAGGCTTATCTGTTGGCAGCAGCGCTAAATGAAAACCAGCCTGTAGCCACCGATACAACTTGTTTCCAGTTTGGCAAACCAGGATCACCGATACCCCAGTGGGGGTAGAACAGTGGCCTCTACCAAAAGAAAAATCCGCAGCAGCGGCACCAGCTATCTCTGAACAGCTTATTTCTGAACAATTGACTTTTGGCCACATTGAACCATCTTCATCCCACTGGCTCCAGCAGACAGGGAACGGTTTGCTTTTACATTGCCAGCATATCACAATTCGCAGCCCACCCAGCGATATCAGTGGGTTGTCCTGCCTCAAGGCATGCGGAACTCCCCTACACTTTGTCAACATTTTGTGGGTGAAGCATTGAAACCCTTCCGCATGCGCCACCTAGAGGTGCTGCACACGAACTGCATCTGGCAGTGTTTGCCTTCCTAACCATTTGCCTTGCCATCCTTTGCTGCACCGTTATACAAGGAAGAGAAGCAGACGACCAGTCCAGTTGAAACCACCATATTTCACCTCATCGGCTGGCAAGCAGCTGTCGTCAGCTTCCTACTCTGGCTGGCAGTATCCACGGCTCAGCCACTTTTGAACTAGAAGAACAGCGTTGTTGAATAAGACTTTTAGGGAGAAAATTATCATAAGATATGGAGGGATGATATTTTTGTACAAGATATGATTATGTTTGCCAGTTTATTGCACGCTTCTAAATGTTGGGTGTGTATGCCAGTCATTCAGGCATAATGCTTCATGGTGTGCCTGTCTATGGATCTTTTCAATTTACTTATATTATATCCCCCTAAGCAAACTTTTTGGCCTCCAGTACAATTGACCCTCCATGAGCCTGCCCCCATTTATTTTCAAATTAAGGAGGGGAAAGAGTCATGGGGCATATATCCAAACTGTCAATATACATTGAAATTCACTTTTAATAGCTTTGTTCTCTTACAGGAATATACAGTGACAAATCTCAGTGCTATAGAAGTGACACCAGTGCATGGCTAATAAACTAAAAGGAAGCCTACCATGCAGCTTGGAATCAGAATTCTTATATTCTTGGCTTCTGGATTTTAGTGATCATTATAGTAGTTATTGATTTTAGTGATCATTATAGTAGTTATTTGCATTATTTTGTGTTGCTGTATCCAATGTATTCTTTCTATAATCTCTATATGTACTGCATGGTTCTCCAGTCCGCAGCCCGCTTCCGGTGTCAAAGAGTTGCTTATCGCGCTCGATATAACCGTATTGGTACTGATTAATAAAGTAAAGAAAGAGGGCATGTGGGAGTCATAAAGCCACGGCAAAGGCTTGTAATATTGCAGGGTGCCCCCTGACCTCGGCTGACCAGCACTCTGAGCTTTACAATGTATTGGAATGTATTGGAGCTGTGTTTCCTCTGGGCAGTGATTGACCCTATAAGGTGTTGGGGGCAATAAAAGCCTTGACCGGATGAGGTAACGTGAGACACTGGCAAACAGCCATGCGGCTGGAGAGAGACAAAGGAATAAAGAAGTTTGCAGGAGGAGGAGAGGGAAGTTCGAAAGGAGCTGCTCCTACCATCATGAAAATATTGCTGGCTCTCTGTGTCATAATTTTATGCTAAACTTCGCCACTTTGTAACGGCTGGATCCGACATGGGAGTTCATCTGTAGTAGTTTTTAAACCATGATACTGGGGGGGAGTAGTTAGAGTGCTTTGCTCCTCCCCCCAGCCAACCTGCTGTGCTACCTGGAGCTACGCCATGATTTCGCTTAGCATGACATCTACCGTAAATGCAGGCTCATGGTTTCTCTTGATCTAGAGAAGACACAAGCTGTAGCCAAGGTTTGTTCCTGGCTTGCTGCCTGTGGGTTGGGGCAAACCATGAGCTCTGGTTCAGATGCAATGCTAAGCCAAAAGCCATGATTTAGTAGCAGCAGAACAACTGGGGAAGGAGTGAATTGGCTGCATTTTTTTTTTTTTTACTGTGAACAACCGCTTATACATCCATGCTTAGCCATTGTTTGGTTTAGCATTATGTGCAAACCGGGCGATTATTTCCTTAGTGCAAGCAATAAGTCCCCTTGGTAAATGAATCATTACCATGGTTGCCAGCCTAATTTACCACCAGCACGCCAGACAATTAGCAGGAAACTAAAAGAAACAAAGTATTTTCCCCTTTACCTGTGTTGCCATAGTAACATGGAGTAGTTTGATCCCTCTCATCATAACAGCATCCAGTCTGGTAACATTCAGCTTGTCCTAGTGAACCTGCACAGGGAATCTTTCCAGATGAAACCTGGCACTGCTCCTGGGTTAGAGGAGAACCTGGGAGGGCAAGAAAAGAGCTACAGCGTTATCTGGAGCATGATAAAGTATGCCCTATTAGGACTGGCTTGCATGCCATGTTAAGCCAGATTTTAAAATAAGCAATAGCTTGATGTGAATGAGTAGTGGGTCAGCCCCCGCAATGAACAAGTGGGAAGCCAAGAACAATTTTGTGTGTGTCCAATGAATCATTAAAGGAAGTAGAATGCTCTTTTTAAAGGAACTAAAGGTCTCTCCTAGAATCTTATCAGATATTCCGAGGCAGAAATAGATCACATTCTTCATATACTTGAATCCATGCTTCATCCGTGCCATGTGGTATAAATATAATACAGTTTCCCTGACACTCCATATGCGGAATTAGTATGCAACACTAAATCAAGAAAGTCGATGATCAATCAATAGTCTGAACTTTATGCAGAACAACTATTACTGTATTCACACAATACCCATCAGTATTTACTTAGTTCAGAATGCTTCTGTTTTACTTAACAGCACAGATCACAGAGTTGTACTTAATGATAACATCGAAAAATGATCACATACCTATACTGTAGAGGCCAGAAGGGTGCATTAGGCCAGGATAGAGAGGAGGCACTGGTTGCACAAGGCCGGGCTGAGGCTGAGGCAGCGGGCGCACTAGGCCGGGCTGAGGCTGAGGCAGCGGGCGCACTTGGCCGGGCTGAGGCTGAGGTTGAGGCAGTGGGCGCACTTGGCCAGGCGGAGGCAGGGGGTGCACTTGGCCAGGCGGAGGCAGCGGGCGCACTTGGCCAGGCTGAGGCTGAGGCTGTACTTCACCGGGTTGAGGCTGAGGCAGTGGGAGCACTTGGCCAGGCGGAGGCAGGGGGTGCACTTGGCCAGGCGGAGGCAGGGGGTGCACTAGGCTGGGCTGAGGCTGAGGGCGCACAAGGCCGGGCTGAGGCTGAGGCTGAGGCAGCGGGCGCACTAGGCCGGGCTGAGGCTGAGGCTGTGGGTGCACTTGGCCGGGCTGAGGCTGAGGCTGTGGGTGCACTTGGCCGGGCTGAGGCTGAGGCAGCGGGCGCACTAGGCCGGGCTGAGGCTGAGGTTGAGGTTGAGGCAGCGGGCGCACTAGGCCGGGCTGAGGCTGAGGTTGAGGCAGCGGGCGCACTTGGCCGGGCTGAGGCTGAGGCAGTGGGCGCACTTGGCCGGGCTGAGGCTGAGGCAGCGGGTGCACTTGGCCGGGTTGAGGCTGAGGCAGCGGGCGCACTTGACCAGGCTGAAGCCATGGGTGCACTTGACCAGGCTGCGGCTGAGGAAGTGGGTGCACTTGGCCGGGCTGAGGCTGAGGCAGGGGCGCACTTGGCTGGGCTGAGGCTGAGGTTGAGGTAGTGGGTGCCCTTGGCCAGGCTGCGGCTGAGGCAGTGGGTGCACTTGGCCAGGCGGAGGCAGGGGTGCACTTGGCCAGGCGGAGGCAGGGGTGCACTAGGCTGGGCTGAGGCTGAGGCAGGGGGCGCACTAGGCCGGGCTGAGGCTGAGGCTGAGGCAGGGGGCGCACTTGGCCAGGCTGAGGCTGTGGGTGCACTTGGCCGGGCTGAGGCTGAGGCTGTGGGTGCACATGGCGGGGGTGAGGGTGAGGCAGGGGGCGCACTAGGCCGGGCTGAGGCTGAGGTTGAGGCTGAGGCAGCGGGCGCACTAGGCCGGGCTGAGGCTGAGGTTGAGGCAGCGGGCGCACTTGGCCGGGCTGAGGCTGAGGCAGCGGGTGCACTTGGCCGGGTTGGAGGCTGAGGCAGCGGGTGCACTTGGCCGGGGTGAGGCTGAGGCAGCGGGCGCACTTGACCAGGCTGAAGCCATGGGTGCACTTGACCAGGCTGCGGCTGAGGAAGTGGGTGCACTTGGCCGGGCTGAGGCTGAGGCAGGGGGCGCACTTGGCTGGGCTGAGGCTGAGGTTGAGGTAGTGGGTGCCCTTGGCCAGGCTGCGGCTGAGGCAGTGGGTGCACTTGGCCAGGCGGAGGCAGGGGGTGCACTTGGCCAGGCGGAGGCAGGGGGTGCACTAGGCTGGGCTGAGGCTGAGGCAGGGGGCGCACTAGGCCGGGCTGAGGCTGAGGCTGAGGCAGGGGGCGCACTTGGCCAGGCTGAGGCTGTGGGTGCACTTGGCCGGGCTGAGGCTGAGGCTGTGGGTGCACTTGGCCGGGCTGAGGCTGAGGCAGCGGGCGCACTAGGCCGGGCTGAGGCTGAGGTTGAGGCAGCGGGCGCACTAGGCCGGGCTGAGGCTGAGGTTGAGGCAGCGGGCGCACTTGGCCGGGCTGAGGCTGAGGCAGTGGGCGCACTTGGCCGGGCTGAGGCTGAGGCAGCGGGTGCACTTGGCCGGGTTGAGGCTGAGGCAGCGGGCGCACTTGACCAGGCTGAAGCCATGGGTGCACTTGACCAGGCTGCGGCTGAGGAAGTGGGTGCACTTGGCCGGGCTGAGGCTGAGGCAGGGGGCGCACTTGGCCGGGCTGAGGCTGAGGTTGAGGTAGTGGGTGCCCTTGGCCAGGCTGCGGCTGAGGCAGTGGGTGCACTTGGCCGGGCTGAGGCTGAGGTTGAGGCAGCGGGCGCACTAGGCCGGGCTGAGGCTGAGGTTGAGGCAGCGGGCGCACTAGGCCGGGCTGAGGCTGAGGCAGCGGGCGCACTAGGCCGGGCTGAGGCTGAGGCAGTGGGCGCACTAGGCCGGGCTGAGGCTGAGGCCATGGGTGCACTTGACCAGGCTGCGGCTGAGGAAGTGGGTGCACTTGGCCGGGCTGAGGCTGAGGCAGGGGGCGCACTTGGCCGGGCTGAGGCTGAGGCAGGGGGCGCACTTCGCCGGGCTGAGGCTGGGGCAGTGGGCGCACTTGGCCGGGCTGAGGCTGGGGCAGTGGGTGCACTTGGCCGGGCTGAGGCTGAGGTTGAGGCAGCGGGCGCACTAGGCCGGGCTGAGGCTGAGGCTGAGGCCGTGGGTGCACTAGACCGGGCTGAGGCTGTACTTTGCCGGGCTGAGGCTGAGGCAGTGGGCGCACTTGGCCGGGCTGAGGCCACGGGTGCACTATGCCAGGCTGGGGCTGTGGGTGCACTTCGCCGGGCTGAGGCTGAGGCAGCGGGCGCACTAGGCCGGGCTGAGGCTGAGGCAGCGGGCGCACTAGGCCGGGCTGAGGCTGAGGTTGAGGTTGAGGCAGCGGGTGCACTTGGCCGGGCTGAGGCTGAGGCAGCGGGCGCACTTGACCAGGCTGAGGCTGAGGCTGTACTTCACCGGGTTGAGGCTGAGGCAGCGGGCGCACTTGACCAGGCTGAGGCTGAGGCAGTGGGTGCACTTGGCCGGGCTGAGGCTGAGGCAGCGGGTACACTTGGCCAGGCTGAGGCTGAGGCTGTACTTCACCGGGTTGAGGCTGAGGCAGCGGGCGCACTTGGCCGGGCTGAGGCTGAGGTTGAGGTAGTGGGTGCACTTGGCCAGGCTGCGGCTGAGGCAGCGGGTGCACTTGGCCGGGCTGAGGCTGAGGCAGTGGGTGCACTTGGCCGGGCTGAGGCTGAGGCAGCGGGCGTACTAGGCCGGGCTGAGGCTGAGGCTGAGGCAGCGGGCGCACTAGGCCGGGCTGAGGCTGAGGCTGAGGCAGCGGGTGCACTTGGCCGGGCTGAGGCTGAGGCAGCGGGTGCACTTGGCCAGGCTGAGGCTGAGGCAGCGGGCGCACTAGGCCGGGCTGAGGCTGAGGTTGAGGCAGCGGGCGCACTTGGCCGGGCTGAGGCTGAGGCAGCGGGCGCACTAGGCCGGGCTGAGGCTCAGGCAGCGGGTGCACTTGGCCGGGCTGAGGCTGAGGTTGAGGCAGCGGGCGCACTTGGCCGGGCTGAGGCTGAGGCAGCGGGCGCACTAGGCCGGGCTGAGGCTGAGGCAGCGGGCGCACTAGGCCGGGCTGAGGCTGAGGCAGCGGGTGCACTTGGCCGGGCTGAGGCTGAGGCAGCGGGTGCACTTGGCCAGGCTGAGGCTGAGGCAGCGGGCGCACTAGGCCGGGCTGAGGCTGAGGCAGCGGGTGCACTTGGCCGGGCTGAGGCTGAGGCTGAGGCAGCGGGCGCACTTGGCCGGGCTGAGGCTGAGGCAGCGGGCGCACTTGGCCGGGCTGAGGCTGAGGCAGCGGGCGCACTAGGCCGGGCTGAGGCTGAGGCAGCGGGCGCACTAGGCCGGGCTGAGGCTGAGGTTGAGGTTGAGGCAGAGGCAGCGGGTGCACTTGGCCGGGCTGAGGCTGTGGGTGCACTTGGCCAGGCGGAGGCAGGGGGTGCACTTGGCCGGGCTGAGGCTGAGGCAGCGGGCGCACTTGACCAGGCTGAGGCTGAGGCTGTACTTCACCAGGTTGAGGCTGAGGCAGCGGGCGCACTTGACCAGGCTGAGGCTGAGGCCATGGGCGCACTTGGCCAGGCTGAGGCTGAGGCTGTACTTCACCGGGTTGAGGCTGAGGCAGCGGGCGCACTTGGCCGGGCTGAGGCTGAGGCAGTGGGTGCACTTGGCCGGGCTGAGGCTGAGGCAGCGGGTACACTTGGCCAGGCTGAGGCTGAGGCAGCGGGCGCACTAGGCCGGGCTGAGGCTGAGGCAGCGGGCGCACTTGGCCGGGCTGAGGCTGAGGCAGCGGGTGCACTTGGCCAGGCTGAGGCTGAGGCAGCGGGCGCACTAGGCCGGGCTGAGGCTGAGGTTGAGGCAGCGGGCGCACTAGGCCGGGCTGAGGCTGAGGCAGCGGGCGCACTAGGCCGGGCTGAGGCTGAGGCAGCGGGTGCACTTGGCCGGGCTGAGGCAGTGGGCGCACTTGACCAGGCTGAGGCTGAGGCCATGGGTGCACTTGACCAGGCTGCGGCTGAGGAAGTGGGTGCACTTGGCCGGGCTGAGGCTGAGGCAGGGGGCGCACTTGGCCGGGCTGAGGCTGAGGCAGTGGGTGCACTTGGCCGGGCTGAGGCCGGGGCAGTGGGCGCACTTGGCCAGGCTGAGGCTGGGGCAGTGGGTGCACTTGGCCGGGCTGAGGCTGGGGCAGTGGGCGCACTTGGCCAGGCTGAGGCTGGGGCAGTGGGTGCACTTGGCCGGGCTGAGGCTGAGGTTGAGGCAGCGGGCGCACTAGGCCGGGCTGAGGCTGAGGCTGTGGGTGCACTAGACCGGGCTGAGGCTGTACTTTGCCGGGCTGAGGCTGAGGCAGTGGGTGCACTTGGCCGGGCTGAGGCCACGGGTGCACTACGCCAGGCTGGGGCTGTGGTCGTACTATGCCAGGCTGGGGCTCTGGGCGGATCAGGCCAGGCACTGGATGCTCTAAACCAGGCTGGGGCTTAGGCTGGGGCTGCGGGCGCAACTGGCCAGGCTGAGGTTGAGGCTGCGGGCGCACTATGCCAGGTTGGGTTTCTGGGCGTATTAAGCCAGGCACTGGACGCTCTTGGTCAGGCTGAGGCTGAGGTTGTGGGTGCACGTGGCTGGGCCAAGGCTGAGGTAGCGGGAACTCTAGGCCAGGCTGGGAATGAGGCAGAGGGCGCACCACACCAGGCTGGGGCTGAGGCACATGACGCATGTTGTCCTCTGGTGCTGGGACATATTCTTGTGGCTTGGGGCATATTATGTTGACATCATGGGAGACAACAACTCTTCTGTTGCTTGTTAGTTCTTCTATCCGGACTTTCAAGTTATTGCTGTTATCCTGCAAGATACATTGAACCATTGCAAGTTTCTGTCACATTGATTAGTCAGGACAGATATAGAATACTGAGGTTTTAGAGTCAAATACCAATGTACCTGTTACAAGGCATTATCATAGTCTTGCTATGACATATGAATCTTGTTTTGATAATGAATTTAAATTTATTTGGCCGAATACCGACTAAGCTAGTGGACTGGATTGCTAGGTACCAGGTGAGAAGCATCCTCCCAAAACATCTAAACGCTCATCTTAAATGTCTATACAACAGAGCTAATTTTCCTGACAGAGGATTTCTGCTGCAGTAGTTGGCCAAGATCATGGGCAGGATACAACTAAGCGGTGTGCATGGCATGAGGTCCAATTACTCAACAGGACTTTCCCTGCTCTCCTTCCCCTTGTGGACCTTGTTCCCCTTGGGCTTCACTGAGTTCTACACCCTGGTTTTAGGCTGTTCAGTTCTCTACTGCACATGTTGCTATACTTTGGAAGACAATTCTACCCTTTCTTATACTTGGACTTTCTGCATAGCCAGCTATTTGCAAAATCACTAAAGCAAAAATCAGAAGTGACTAGGGAACCTGGTGAACCTGTGCCTCTCAAATGTTGCTAGGTTCCAGAGGTAGCTATAAATGTAAAAACTAAACCCAGCCAGCATGTCTGATGGAAATTGGCAGTCGGGTAACAGGCTCCCTACCCCCAAGTTAGGCCTATTACCTGCCTTACAGCAAGGTTTCCTGAAATTATGTAATTAGAAGAGTGGGCGACTCAAATCCTTGCACAGTCAAGAAGTTCATGGGCTGACCCTGGGCCAATCACTCCCTCTCAACCTAAAGTACCTTACAGGACTGTTGGAAGAACAGAAGGAGCTGGGAAGATCAGCAGCCCCTTTCACATGTGCATCACATGTGAAGGGGACTCATACAGAACAGGGCTACTTCTCTGCCTTTGGAGTCCATCTGCCCAAGCCGAACATCTGCAAGCAAAAGCTTACATTGCTCTTTTCCCGAGTCCTAGAACCCTAAAGAACCTTTTAATGAGGGTGAAAGAGGAGAGCGCAAAATATGGTCTGAAGCTCAACATTAAAAAAACGAAGATCATGGCCACTGGTCCCATCACCTCCTGGCGAATAGAAGGGGAAGAAATGGAGGCAGTGAGAGATTTTACTTTCCTGGGCTCTACGATCACGGCAGATGGTGACAGCAGTCACGAAATTAAAAGATGCCTGCTCCTTGGGAGAAAGGCAATGGCAAACCTAGACAGCATCTTAAAAAGCAGAGACATCACCTTGCCAACAAAGGTCCGTATAGTTAAAGCCATGGTTTTCCCAGTAGTGATGTATGGAAGTGAGAGCTGGACCATCAAGAAGGCTGATCGCCGAAGAATTGATGCTTTTGAACTATGGTGCTGGAGGAGACTCTTGAGAGTCCCATGGACTGCAAGAAGATCAAACCTCTCCATTCTTAAGGAAATCAGCCCTGAGTGCTCAGTGGAAGGACAGATCGTGAAGCTGAGACTCCAATACTTTGGCCACCTCATGAGAAGAGAAGACTCCCTGGAAAAGACCCTGATGTTGGGAAAGATGGAGGGCACAAGGAGAAGGGGACAACAGAGGATGAGATGGTTGGACAGTGTTCTCAAAGCTACAAACATGAGTCTGACCAAACTGCGGGAGGCAGTAGAAGGCAGGAGTGCCTGGCGTGCTCTGGTCCATGGGATCACGAAGAGTTGGACACGACTAAATGACTAAACAACAACAGAACCCTAAACATGCTCTCAGAAGGGCTGCTTATACAATTCCCCTGAGGTCTTAAGGGCACAATCCAGATGTCCATATAAAATTATATTGCGTAATTCAGAATGACAATGTTGGCCATGCAGTATAGGGTTTCCAGGGAAGCCTGCAACACAAAATCCAGAAGAGCCTCACCTTATTTAGTACGTGACAGCCACCGTAGCCAGCAGAGAAAGCAATAGCCCCATTAGATGTGATCCAGTGGCGGCAGATTGAGCAATTTGAAACTTCAAAGGCTATCCCAAACTCATCTGTTGATGAGAGGTTAATGCATTAGCCACCGAGAGATGCAACAGCTCAAGAAAACTTATTTGCATTGGTTGAGACTTCTAAAGTTCTTCAGATGTGTGTCCCTTATTATCAGTTAGTGCCTGAACCACATAGAAAGAGTGTGAACTTTTCACTTGCTTTGAAATCCAATAATAAGGCCAATTCAAGAGCTATGCCTCCAACAACAGGTGCTAGACCAGGCACCCCCAAACTCAGCCCTCCAGCTGTTTTGGGACTGCAACTCCCATCATCCCTAGCTAACAGAACCAGTGGTCAGGGATGATGGGAACTGTAGTTCCCAAACATCTGGATGGCAGGTTTGGGGATGCCTGTGCTAGACCAACATGCTCATTACTGCTGCAATTATTTCAGTGAGTATTCCCCATAGGACCAAGGAAAAACATTTTGCAATAGTCAGTTAATATGCCTGTTAACTTGAGAGGGGGCTCTGCTGGAATCCCTATGTGCCAACAATTGTAGGCTTAATCAGACTAAGGCCACATTCACACCATACATTTAAAGCAGAATCATACTGCTTCCCATCCTCCAAAGAATACTAGGAACTGTAATTAAGTGTGCTGAGAGTTGCTTGGAGACCCTTCCAGAGCTACAGTTCACAGAGTAGTTGATCAATCCCTCTTCACAGAGAACTCTGGAAATTTTAACTCTGAGGGGACTAGGGGGTACCCTTAACAACTCTACATGCCCTTAAACTACAGCTCGCAGGATTCTTTGGGGGAAGAAGCCATGGCTGTTTAAAGTGGCATGCTGCTTCTTTAAATGGGGAGTGCAGATAGAGCCTAAATTATACTGTGAAGTCTCCTAATTTTTTTAACAAGCAGCACAATTGTCGTAAAACAAGCTTTTTAATAAAGCCTAGTTTGGGGAGAATGTTTGCAGTTCTTTGAGTTTCTATTCTCGCCACCACGCCCTCAAAGCCTTGGCTCTAGCCACACGTACAGGAACTGCAACTCTCCCCGTGGCCTCCCCAGTTTCACAGCTTTGAGCATTTTCTTCAACTAAACTAAACCTTCTCATTCTAGATACAGATATCCAAAACCATGAAGAGAAAAGCTGCCATTGCCACAAAGCTGTTGCAACCTACCACAAAGGAGGTGGCTGGCAAGGAGCATCACTCCCATTACAAGGAGTGTGAGGTATTCTGAAGTGCTCCACTGAAGCAACACAGCTTTAAATACAGCTAAGCAAGGCAGCTGCTGCAGCATTTAAAGAAAATAGTACTGTGGGATTTAATGGGAGCTAAAAGCCTGCAGCTTCTATAGCTTGCCAGAAATCTTTTTTCTTGGTCATTTTTAGACGACCAGAATAAGAGGGCAACTACATACCTCTGCTTCCCTGTGACCTCTCCTTTGAGAGGTTACTGAATCCCCTCTCCCTGGCCAGTACTAACAAAGAACACACAGACCTGCTGTTTGGCATCCACCTTCCAAAGAACCATTCTGCCATAGGTAAGCATAAAGCAGGGGTCCTACCACTCCAACCTTTTAAGACCCAGAGACACATTTGAGAAGCCAAGGAACTGTTGTGGGCGCCACAAAAAAATGCCCATTTCACAGAGGAAAGACTGGCAACGCTGGAGAAACTCTCCCCAAAGTGGAAGACACCTACACACACCTCAAAACAAATCAAACAAAAATGCAGGCAGCCATTCCACCAAATAACCTTTCCAAACCCTCACAATGAAGACATAATAAAAATAAATTGAGAGCGGCAGGAGACTTGGCAGACACCAAGGGAGGCACAGTGGGACCCCACTGAGGAGCCCAGATAACGTTTCAAGAAGTTCCCCTATATTTCATGCCCCAACAAACACACACACCTGACCCACTCCCCTTCTTTCTAACAGACCAGTCTTATTATTTCTTCAAGAGGAAAGAGAGCCTTCCTTACCCACAACTTTAAAGCGGACATCTCGGCCTGGGCTAGGAAACACAAGGAGCTGCATGCTGTACTCCCCACAGTTGTAATGATATGGGGAGGGTAAGGAGCCCACCCTCCAAACGTCACCTTGCCCTTGGCACAGCCCCAGAATCACCAAGATTGCTAACCCCCCCAAATCTCTGTAGCCCCAGTCCATGGCTGCAGCAACCAAAGAAAAACAGAAGCAGAGCCTTGGCAGCCCCTCCCCATAGGAGGAAAGCTGGTGAGGACGCTGGCATTATATAGGGTCAGTGGAGGTGGGCTGGCTGAAGCAAGAACTCATCAGGGAGCAGAGCCTGCACCTGGGGAGCCACCCGCCGGGAATTAATAGGGGACCGGGTCAAAAGTGCAAAACCCGGCCAAAAGAGAAAACGCCTCTGCTCTCCCAATAGTAATCTCTCTTCCACTTGCTATGAATGGACACGAGGCAGCAGAAATCGAGAAAGACTTGTTCTTCCCCCTTTTTTTGGTCACATTTGTACCCCCCTCTTCATCCAAAAAAGCTCCCAGACCAGCCTTCATACAATCAAAACAAGACAGTCCCTATACGCCAGCTTGCAAGCCCCACCCCCTCCAAAAAAACTCCCCAAAAGAAAACACGACATGCAAAGAGAAGGAGACAAGGATGGTTCAAGTCCTGTGAACACTTATGTACTTGGGACTCAATCGATCTCACTGAATTTAATGGGTCCTATATCAAGAGTTCCCAGGTGATAGCTGCCCTTTCCTAATTTTCCATCCACCTGATTGCCCTTCTGTTTTTATCTTTTGCCCCTTGTTCTTCCTTCACCTCTTTCCTTATGCTTCACTCTTCTTTTTGAGATTTCATCCTTGCCCTCTTGTGTCTTTAAGGGATGTGGGAATGGGGAAGCAGGAGCTTTACCTATACCCCTCCCCCCAAACCCACACACACATTGGTTAAAGCTTCTTCTGTTGCACCCCTTACTGTTACACAGCAGATAAAGACAATGGAACCCTGATGGGAAAATAGGTTTGCCAAACCAATTTTATTCTGAGATTCCTCACCATTTTACACTTCTCCACAGAATGTGGTTTATAATAGGTTTTTGAGTGAAGCTTGGTTCTTTCCCTTGAACACGCACTGCTTGAATCCAAAAGGAAGTACTGTCATCAAGCGTGCTGAGTCTGCTGTGTTTTCTGATTGTTTGGGATGTCCTCCTTTCATTCATTCCTGTTGTAGTGTGAGTTTCCATTAACCGATAGTCCTTGTTTTGCCTTTGGGGACATTCCTGGAGCCAGTGATGTGCCTCTGCTATGGAAGTGGCAGGACAGAAGGCAGGGATGTTGTCTGGTCCTTAAAACACTTAGGGCAGAGTCTCACAACACAAATCTGAACAATATTTGCATATACTAATTTATATGTACAGAGGCAGATTTATTTTTTTTTTTTTAAAAGCAATTTATTGGATTTTACAATAGGAATAAATGTAATAAACAATATAACATTCGTCTTAACATTATTTCACATTTTCTTTGGACTTCCTCACATCTCCCGCTCCCACCTTCATCATTATAACATTTTGTCAGCAATTTATCATCTTATTTAAGTTCTTATATCTCTTCGATATTTCATAATCTTAAAGTTCTCATAAAGAGTTAAACTTTCACAGTTTTTCTTATTTTCTTAAAAACTTCTAAGTTAAGTGGTGCTCAGTTATTTAGTCTAGCATCTTATTCAGCATTCAGTCAAATCACAATGCTTTTGTAGATAGTTCTTAAATTTCTTCCAATCCTCCTCGATTCTCTCTTCTCCCAGGTCACGGATTCTGCCAGTCATTTCAGCCAGTTGCATATAGTCTATCAGTTGCATCTGCCATTCTTCCAGTGTGGGTAGATCTTGAGTTTTCCAATGTTTTGCGAGTAGTATCCTTGCTGCTGTTGTTGCATACATGAAAAATGTCTGATCCTTCTTTGCCACCCCTTGGCTGACAATACCCAAAAGGAAAGCCTCTGGTTTCTTAGTGAAAGTATATTTAAATACCTTTTTCAATTCATTATAAATCATTTCCCAGAACGCCTTCACTTTAGGGCAGGTCCACCAGAGGTGAAAGAACGTTCCTTCACACTCTTTACATTTCCAGCACTTGTTATCAGACAGGTGGTAATTTTGCGAGTTTGACTGGGGTCATATACCATCTATAAATCATTTTCATTACATTTTCTTTCAAAGCATTACATGCAGTGAATTTCAATCCATTACTCCACAGCCTTTCCCAGTCCTCAAACATAATGTTATGCCCAATATCCTGTGCCCACCTTATCATAGCCGATTTAACCATTTCATCTTGTGTATTCCATTCCAACAGCAAGTTATACATCCTTGAAAGTATCTTAGTCTTTGGTGTACAGAGGCAGATTTAGACTGGTTTTCAGAGCCTCTCTATAACCAACATAATTTTTAAAAGTTTTAATAAAAATGTGGTGTGTGAGAAATGTGAAGCCCCCTGAACCACTCCCTAACAATACCCTGGCATTAATTAAACTCTTTTAATTATTCACATTTTCATAGAATTGTAGAGTTGGAAGGGACCCCGAGGGTCATCTAGCCCAACCCCCTGCAGTGCAGGAATCTCGGCTAAAGCATCCATGACAGATGGCCTCCAACATCTGCTTTAAAACCTCTCTACCAGTCTTGTCCTTTAAAGGCAATGCCAGTGCATACTGAGGCAGAATACTGATCACCATTAAAATGTGTTTGTGTTTATCATCATGATCAATAAATAAAACATTGTGCTTGGAAAAAGGTTGCATATCTGCTTACAACACCAAGATCAAACATACTGGGGTCAGGCTGTGAGACTTTGAGGTGAGTAGTAACAGTTAGAAATTCTCTTGGAAGAAGGTGCTGCAGAAATAAAATCCTTTCTAATATGTACCATCTTATTAGGAGCACATTTTCAGTTCATCTTTTTTCTCCCTTTTCATTTCAGTAACAAGAGTAGCAGCGGACATTCTATGATGGTATGCAATCGCTCGTCACACAATTTCACATTAAAAAGAGCAACCTCTCCATATTTCTGCAAAGCTATCAAAGGATCTGGGTTGGAAATATACTGTTCTGGTCCTCCAGGGTTATGCTAGTTTTGCACAAAGACACTTCCCAAAGTCAATTAAAGGGTCAACACATGAAAGTGTGTGCTTAACAGGGAATTCATGGCAGTTTGGTGGCACATTTATGGAAGGTCGCGTTGTCCAGAGTCAAGGGTACTTCCCAACTGTGGCTTTTAGGGCTCCCTCACCCATTATTACTCTTCCTCTGTAAGCGACATGAGAATATACAATTGACACTTTGTGGGAGAGATTATAGTGCTTTCTGTGTGCATGTACATCAGGCTGTGCTCTAGCTGTGATATAGGATGCAATCAGGGCTTTTTTTTCAGCTGGAACTCACCAGAACTCAGTTCCAGCACCTCTCAGACATGCCCCATTGCCATTCTAAGAGAACAAGGGAGGTGTGCATGGTGAGTTCCAGCACCTCTTTTTCTAGAAAGATAGCACTGGATGCAATCATTATTTTAGTGATTATTTCTTTGATAAGGACCACAGTTCCACAAAACAAAACTGTCATAATGATTGTCTTTTATTTGAAAAACAAATTTGGAAGGGAGCAGGTGGTGCTGTACTCTAAACCACTGAGCCTCTTGGGTTCGCCAATCGGAAGGTCGTCGGTTCGAATCCCCGTGACGGGGTGAGCTCCCGTTGCTCTGCCCCAGCTCCTGCCAACCTAGCAGTTTGAAAGCACACCAGTGCAAGTAGATAAATAGATACCGCTGTAGCAGGAAGGTAAATGGTGTTTTCGTGCGCTCTGTTGCACCAGAAGTAGTTTAGTCATGCTGGCCACATGACCGGGCAGTAAATGCCAGCTCCCTCGGCCTGAAAGTGAGATGAGCACCACACCCCATAGTCACCTTTTAATGGACTTAACCATCCAGGGGTCCTTTACCTTTTAACCTTTTAGCTGAATGTTTCAAATACGTCAGCACCAAGTCCTTTTGTCCTTTTGATCATAATAAAAGCTAGCAAACAGCATTGCTGCTGCAAAAATCAGCTCCCTGGGGGCATCTAGTGGACAAAAAAGGGAAATGCTAACCCTCAGTTAAATGCCTGATACTTCAGATATGACTGGGGATGAAAACTCTTTAAAGTACAAATTAAAGCAGTAGTTGCTAGGCAACCACTATTAATAGTACAATCCTATGGGTGTAAGTCCCACTAAATTCAATGGGACTGAGGTTCTGGTAAACAGGATTAGGACTGCAACCTGGGTGTCACAGAATCAAAGAAGTGAAGATTTGGAAGGGACCCTGAGGGTCATCTAGTCCAACCCCCTGCAATGCAGGAATCACAGCTCTTAGCTTTCTTTGAAACAATAAATGAAAACTGTATAAATGCAAAACAGCATCCATATAATGGTACCAAAATGACAGCCCTGCTGCCCCATTTAATCTGCAGAAAAGATAAGGTGGAGGCTGGGGAGAAAACCTGTTGCCAATGACTTGCTTGCATTTTAAACAGAAGATGTCATCATTAAGGGTGTTTTTAGTGTGGGACTTAATCTTGCATATTCTCACTCTTTGATTTGTTTTCTCTTTATCCACCATACAGTATCGTCTTTCCTATATCCCATAATTCACTGACACTCTTCATCAGCACTGCTCTGCATTCCATCTTTACTTTTTCCAGTTGCTAATGCTTGCCTAAGATTCAAGTCATCCCTGGGGGAAGCCATTTGTTTGTATGTCTTTGAAAAGACTGTGCAATCTCTGCAAACTGAATTAAATCTGAAAATGGTATGCCTTCAAAGAAGGAACCCTGCATCTAATTAAGACTGAAGCATAATTCATCACTGTTCCATCAGAATCAAATTCTCTTGCAAGCTTGTTCATCACTGGCATGCTAATCACCCACACTGGGAATATTTTGTAGCTGCACATGGCAAAATTGGCACATGTACAGTCAACGCATTTGACTGTGCACACAAAATGTATACGCTTGTGACTTCAGACTTAGAGAGGCTGCATGTTGTTATGAATATGAATAAGATCACCAAAGGTGGCATGTTAAAAAATGGGGTGTTGCTCTTTGCCACTCATTAGAGGAGGAGGGTTTCATGGGGTTTGTTTATCCTTGTTCTTCCTTTATCTACTATAGTTCACCTTAAGGCTCCATGTAATTAACAGTCTAGTCTTGGTAGCCTGCAGCAGATATTTGCACATAGATAGCGGCAGTACATTGTACAGTGCCAACACATGCGGACAGTAGCTACTCTGCCAAGTCATTTTCGCTACTGCCTTGGCTGTTTGTCCCTCCTCCTTGTGTGCAACAGGTAGCCACAGATTTGTTCTGGCTTCTGAAAATTATCAGGCTTTTCTGGTATTGCTAAGCTCCTAAAATGGTCAGAAATGGTTCTACTGAGCAAGGCTGAGCTGGAAATTGTTTTTGGGTGGGTTGACTGAAACAAGTAGTGCTTAATTGGGAAGAGAATTTGCCAGAGCCTTGGTAGATACTTTTATTATTCAGCAGAGGTGACCCGTCTTTCTGAACCAGTGTGCACAATTGGAATTTAGAGAAAGTACTATGGGCACCAGTTACAAAAATGCAAGCAAACCTCCACTTCCTATCAATGGTGAGGAGAGTGGAAAGGTACCTACATCAGCCACTACCGTGCTTGCAGAGAGAGAGAGAGAGAGAGAGAGAGAGAGAGAGAGAGAAGGAAGCTCTTTGAACCTGACCTCTGTTCTGAACATCCTGGCATCCAATGAAATGTGCACGTTTAAGGGGGTGTGTGTTTAAGGTAGGGGAAGATGAGTCAGTGCAAACAATCTCTTGCGCCCTGTTGATTTTTGAGGGGATTACTGAGGCATTATGTAATTTTGATTTTTTTTTTATTAAAGATTTTCTTGATTTACAAAAGTGTTTGCAATGTCTCTCTCTCATATTTTTTCCCCCATGTAACATTTTTACAAATCACTTTCATTTGTTGAGACATTAGGAAGAAAAGGGGGAAAGAGGTGGAGGGGGGAGAGATGGGTGGGGGTGGGGTCAGGTGGTGATGTTTCTATTTTACCTACTATATGTAGGGTTTGGTGTCAGCGTTGCTTGTGCAGGTTCTTTGTTGTTTGCTTGTGTTCCTCTGGTGGTGAGAGAGGTTGGGGTTGGCCTAGGGTGTGGTTGTTCATTTGTGGTTGGCTGTGGTGGTTTTTGTTTTCATGTGTGAGTGGGGTGGGTGGGTGTTTTGGATCAGGTTAGCCATATTGATTTGTATGCTGTTGGTGGATTTTTGTCGTTGTCTTGTTGGGCTGTTTATGTGATAAAGGGGAGCCATACCGGGGTGAAGGTGTCTTCTTCTATTTGTCCCGGTGTCAGTTTCAGTTTGTTGGTTAATTTTTCTAGTAGGGCTATTTCCTATACTATTTGGTACCATTGCTGAGGCATTATGTAATTGCAACTGGTGAGCACTAGTGAGCACGCTGGCACCTACAAGAGCCCGTGTGGCAACCTTATATCTCCTTCGGACACAGCCAAGTAAGAGCTGCTTTTCCATGGGGCCACCCCACATGGTAGAAGGGTATACATACTTAAGATACCAATGACTTCCCCTCTTCTCTTTACATAGTTCATTTTACACATCTTATATCCCTGCATATTTTACAAAAACTACCCATCAGTTTTCCATTATTACATCCATCAAAACTTATTTACACTGCTGACTTTACCTTAATGGTGCCAGCGTTTTCAGCCATACACAATTATTTTCCACATATTCAATAAACATTTTCCAATATTCTTTAAACATATGTTCTTCTTGTTCTCTTATTCTGTATGTAAAGTCTGCAAATTGTGCATATTCTGTTAACTTCAGTTGCCATTCTTCTTTGGTTGGGACCTCGCTTGTTTTCCATTTGGGGGCTAGCAAAACATGGACCACAGTTGTTGCACACATAAATAACCTTTTCTGACACCTGGGAATTTCAGTCTGAATTATCCCCAACAGAAAGGACTCTGGTTTTTTTGGGAAAACAATTTTAAACATTTTTTTCAATTCATTCTAAATGATTTCCCAATACTTGTACATAAATTATTATTTACATAATTTCAGCAGTTTAAGAAAAACACTGTAATTCTTTTAATTTTAAGAGGTGTCTTCAGGTGCTGTCATATAACTCAGTGCATGATCTGTGATCCAAATCCAGATGTTCACATTCTATAAAAATAGAAGTATGTATGCAAATGTAGAGACACACTTCAGACAGAAAGAGAAACCTCAGCTTTGCTGGTTTCTTTGTATACAGCACAATTTTGAGGAGGCTGCCACAATGGGAGCATGACAAATGGTTTTTCTGTCACTAACACCTTAGTTGTAGCTAAAGGAACCTGTCAGTTATGCTAGTGTGCCCATATACAGGCCTAGGGACCAATCCAAACCCATGATCTACTTAGCTGTCCAATTCAGCCAGCTTCTTATAGTTAGGATTGCTTTGCATGGCTCCATATATTCCCCACGGATCATCTTGGGTGTTACGAGCAGCAGAGGGGGCCCTTTTGGTAGTTTCACTGCCCTCAGAAGTTTGGGGAGTGGCAGCCCACTCTCGTGGGCTACTTGGACTGATTGCCCACCTGCCAATCACCTGACAAAACTTCAAACAAAATAGTCTGGAGTGCGCTCCCAGTTCTTCCTTCCTTCCTTTGCAGAGGTAGCTTAGTTTGAAACTACCAACAAGAAGAAAAATGATTCCCCCCACCCTTTGCAGCCCAGCTTGAATTCAAGACAGGGATGCGAAGGAAGATTTGGGAGCACACTGTTAAGTGCTGTGCCCATTGTTCCTTTGTAGTCAAAAGTGAGTGCTTTTTTGAATCTGGTGCCTTTTCCTGTCACCTTGATCTTGTCAATCACCTTTTGTGTTTTGTAGTTGCGGTTTATTTTATTTCTAATGTGCTAGCTTTGCAGAGCTTGAAATGTCCCTTTCACCCAAGTGCTTAAGATCAGACAGAACGGGGGGGGGGATTATTGTCCCCATTTGACAGATGAGCAAGTGTAGCAAAGTGGCCCCAATCACACCCCCCCCAAAGAAGCATGAGACAGGCAAAAGGACTGGATGCAGTTCGCAGAGGCCTAACACTGTCACAGGCTTCTGGCCACGCAATTGGCTTTCTGTTGAGTGCTCTCGAAATACCATGTCACAGGGATATTCTCACTCTGACGGTCTTCCGTGTGTGGGCGGATTCATTGGATCAAGTCTGGAGAACTAGAATACGTCACCTGAGCTGGCTTTCCTTCCTCCCGCTATTAGAAATTGCTCTTTCCAACTGGGCCAAGATGAAGCTCGAGGAATTTCTGGATCTCCTTCCAGGAATGCTCTTGGGCTTTGGCGTGCAGTTCCACTTCACCTCCCCATTGGTTAGGCAAGAGAGTACTCCGGAAAGCAGAGCAGTAGCAAAGCGGGGAACCGGGGGGTTCTAGGAGGTGCCCAGCCCCCGGATACGACAGCAAAGCACAGTTCCTTTTCCCATGCTGCTCTGCTCTGGCTATGGCCGCCTCAGCAAATAACTTGCTGTTTAGGCTTTGGTCGCTTTCTGACACCACAAAGAGCACGGGCCCTTGGGCCTTCTCTAGAGGGATGGCAGAGGAGTGATGTCTTTCATCCAAAGGATCTTCCATGACGTGGTAAGAGGACATTGTCCCCATTTCAGTGATGAGAACCTTCTCAGCAGCATAAGGGATGGCAGGGATATAGACGTCACGAAAGCGAAGTGATGCGCCTCTCATACCTGTGGCACCATTGATGCACACAGCCGCCACGATCTGGTCTAAGAAGGTAATCATGGCCAGTGCGATTTCCGATCCTTTGGACAGACCAACGACTCCAAGGCCCGGGCCTCTGACCTGGCGGGGGAGGAGGGAGGGAACCACACATAGCTATTTCATCAACGGCATGAGAGGCAGATGCAAGTAGAGTTTTGCAAGAAGGAAGGCTATAAATGGGTTTGTTCAGAAGGAAGAGTGATTCTCCACATGGTGCAGGGTGAGTTAGTAGACTGAGATGGCCGAATGCTGGATCGTACATCAGACTGCATGTAACCCTTTCTAACTGGCTCCTTCTGCACTAGGGCCCTTTCACACAGCATTGAATATAGTGGAATATTATTTAGTGGTGCCCTTCCTTACAGCCAAGCTCTTTCTAAACGGTTTATACACAACTGAGTCCTGCTCAGCAGAGATCTCCTGCCAGGCTAATGAGCAGCTTCCTCTCTGCAGCTCCTTCTCCTTGTATGTATTGCTTCCTCTTCAGCAAGGCTGGGGAATTAGCGATGAATTCCCCCTTCAATCTAACCTGAGCTCCAGCTCACGTCCTACCTGATCATTGGCTGATGGGAGACCGAGTCTGGTAACAAGCTGGAGGACCACAGGTGTCCCACCTCTGCCATACACAGTCAGATTCTGCTCCCCACAAAATGTGTGTGTGTGTGTGTGTGTGTGTGTGTGTGTGCACTGTCTTAGGCGTGTCCGTTTTTAGCCAGATCAATTCCATACAAAGACAAAATGATGCTTGGGAGATCCTATTGTATTGTACAAAACCTGGGAACTACCTAGTGATGCCTGTGTTAGTCTAGCTTTGTCTGATCAAGTGCATATCACTATATATTCCAGAACCCTGTTTGGTGCCACTTTGACAGTGCATTCCTTGTGGGGATCCAGGCTTCTCCTGCACCCTCGTGGGTCAGTTTTGACAGGTGAGTGGGACCACACACCTACAAGTCACTTAACATATTATGATGTCAGATGATTGAGAGGTGGCTCGCCCGTCAAAGTTGGCCTGCCAGGCCAAAAACGTTCCTCACTCCTGATCTATTTTAATCTCTATTGTCCCACTACAGAATGCCCTTGTAATGAGATAGAAGAAAATATACCCTCTCAGACACACCTTGGGATGTTTTAAGAGTAGTGTGGATGCTTCCTCAAAATATTCCAGGTCCACTTCTTCCAGGGTCTGTGGGAGGTCATCATAGCCAAAGAAAGCCAGAGCTAGAACAGCAAAGCCTTTATTGGCCAGTAGGACGGCTCGAAACTCAATGAGACCTCCAGACCCACCAAATAGGTCAATCACCCCTGGAAACGGCCCAGGCCCTGCAGAGAGTCCAAGAAAAAGGGAGAGCAACTATGAGTGAAGGTATTTGTAATTGTCTGGAATAAGAACCTCCCTGCCTGCCTGCCTTTGGAGGTCTCTGAGACCATGCAGGGTGGGGTGGAGGAAGGGGGTGACCTTGGAGAGGACAATGAAAGCAACCTGGGCATGTGAGCAATGTGTGTCCCACAATGAGGGAAGAGAAGGACTGCATGATTGTAGAGAAGGTTCAGAAACAAATGGGAAAGTTGCATACAGACGTGTGGGAAGAAGGAAAATGAAGTGAAGAGGTAAAGGACAGGGGGGGACTTCTTTTTATTCTTATAACCCAGAATGTATAATAGGACTCTCTCATCCAGGTACCGAAGAAGCCCCAGCCCACATAGGTTCATCTATGCATTAAGTGCTCACAGACCATCTACTGAGCCCACTAGGCCACAGCAGGCCCACTGATGGGGTGGTGTGAAGCATCTGCCTCACCCTGCCTGCCCCACTGCTGGTGGAATGCCCCCCTGTCACTAGTGAGAGGGAGGCATTATGGCATGTGGTGTTGCCGTTCATCTTCTCTGCCCCTGAGGCAGGAAAGACGAGGGGCAATGCCTTGAGGAATGTGCCGGCTCTCGCAGGGTTTGGCAGGTGGTGGTGGTGATGTTCTGACAACAGCGGAAGTGGGGTGGGATGCAGCAGCGAGGGTAGCCCATTCCCATTTCACCACAAGTTGTGAAACAGGGGTGGGCTGGCACTGCGCTAGGCCATTCCTCATTGTAGTGAATCACCCGGGAGGGGAGAGAAAGCACAAATCAGTTTTCTTACCTGGTGGCAAGAAAAGGGCACCCCGAACTTTGCCTTCTTTGACCTGGACACGTTCCACTCCATGGGCTGCGTACCATCTCTCCACAGTGCAAGTGGCCAGTGGTACATCGTTGGGTGAAGGAACCAATACCACAGAGCCAAAGAGGCTGACCTGGACGCGGAAAGGGCTGCCTGTCACGTTGCGTTTCATCAGCCTGCGGAACCTTTTCTCTGGCTTCAGGGAGGAGAAGAGGCCCATGGGCCAAACACCTACATAGTCCCCGCCTAGAGCAGCTGCCTGCTTCACGTCCACCTCCCCAGACAGATTTGCCCGGAAGTGGGCTCTGGATTGAAACTTCTCTCCTATGTCATCTGTAAGCAATGCATGCAGGGTTACCAGCTGGGAAGGGTCCAGGCCAGAGGCGCGAATCCACACGGGTGAGTCGGCTAGTGAGCTTTTTGGGGTGACAGTGAGGCAGGCCATGGCAGCAACCTGAGGAAAGTGAATCAGTGACATTTCCAGTAAGTTTGGGAACTGTAAGAACTAATGGAGGAGCTGCTCAGCTTCCCTACTTCCCCTAGGGCAATTCTTGCCCTTAACCTCTGATTGAAGCTCTCTCCTTTATATCCCACCTTTCCTCTTTTACACACACACACACTTTAATCCTCTGAACTTGGTGAGGTAGGTTAGGATGAGCGTTAGCAACTGGCTGAAGATAATTCAGAAATCTTTATGGCTGAGGAGAAAATTAAAACTCCATTCTGTCCTAGTTCAAGGTTGGTAGTCGACCAAGTTTTACATCAGAGCTTTCCAAACTGTGTGTTGCAACACATGAGTGCATTGTCAGCAACAGTGTGCGGGTGTGTCGTTCAAACGCTCCCCACACTCTTGCTGGGGCTGGTAAAGGGTGCAGGCAGCCCACTGGATTGCTAGTAAAACTGAATTACCGTGCTGCAAAATGATGCATGTCTAAAAAGTGTGTCGCCAACATGAAAAGTTTGGAAATTTCTGTTTTACACAGAGCAGGCCCACTGAAATTAATTGACATGACTAAGTTAGCTTGATTAATTTCAATGCATCTACTTTGAGTAAAACTCAGCTGACACAGGCTTTTAACCAAGTTCTTTTCTTCCTTGGAGCTGAAACTCCATGCACCGAACGGTTCGCTCACTTGCGCGCTGCAAGAAGCCCGCCTGCCTGCGCACCGCTTGCAATCGAAGCTGCACTTGGAAACGAGGCCTGCCGCTGTGGCCGTGCTGGCTGCGGCTGATGGGAGCTGCAGAACAACCCCGGCTGGAAGGTCGCCGCTTCCCGCTCCGCCCGCCCAAGGTTTGGGGAGCGCGGCGAGCAGATCTTCCCTCCCCTCCAGGCGTCTGCAAATCCTCCCCGCCTTTCCCGGCGCGCCCGCGCGACGGTGGGTTCGGCACTCACCGCGACTTGAATGGCTCAGGACCCGGAGGAGTTGCAGCCGCCACCTCCTCTCTCTCGGTGCTCCGCAGGTGCCCAGTACCTTGTCGGATCCTCGCCAGGGTTGTGCCTCCCCGGTCAGGGCACGATCCTGTGGAAGGGCGCCAAGCGGGGAGTTGCTCTGTCCTGCGCCACGTGACTTGGCGCGGCTCCCTCTGGAGCAAAAGGAGGACAGATAAGGCGAGGCAAGTCGGTGCGAGAAGTGAAACCTCATCCCACACCCGCGCTGCCTGGTGTTACTCAAGGAGAGGATTCAGGGCATCGGGGGTGGGTGGGGAGGTAGCTGCCCCTCCTCACCGCCAGATGAGCCGTCCTCCCCACTTTTCCAGCTTCCATGGCCTTTGGCTCAAAAATGTGTAAAGTTATTTCCTTTCGTTTTCCAGATTGCTGTTTCTGTCATGGTATGCATGACATCCCTGCATTGCAGGGGGTTGGACTAGATGACCCTGGAGGTCCCTTCCTACTCTGCAGTGATTCTGCATCTCATCTGATGGTTTCAGTCCCTCCCCTGGTCTTTGAGAGAACTCTAAACAAATGTACAGGATGAGTCCTTTGAAAGAGGCCCCGTGGATACAGAGTAAAAGACACCCTGTACATGCCAGTGTGAGAAATGATTGTGTGAACTGCCGGTGCTTTTTAAATGGGTGGCTTCGCTTTGTCATATTTGTCGTATTTATCAGTTAGCAAGATGGCATTTTAAAGTATTTAACCCCCATTCTATAAGCTGCCTTGAAAGGTCACCTAGCTCAGGGAGACAGCATAGAAATTGATTAAATAAATAAAATACAGCTAACACCAGTAGAGGTGATACGTGATTGTTCTAAACATTATTGACCCTGATTTAGAAAGCTTACCTTGCTGGCTAAGAAATTGTGTATGCAGTTTAGATACAAACGTGCAATTTGATTTGCAGCCCCCAGTGTCACATGTGGTAAACACACTCACCCAAGTCATATAGAAAGAAGAGGCGGAGGTCCAATTCTAGAAGCAAAAGGTGGGCACTTCTACTCTGTGCATCCCATTTGCTGTTAAAGTCAGACCTCTAATTTTGCAAATGATACAGAGCTGCAAGGGAGCTGTGATGTAGGTAGCCAAGTTTGTTGAAGATACCAGATTTTTCAGGGTATATAAAACAAAAAGGAATTGCAAATGAGCTACAAAGGAATTTATCCAAACTGGGTGACTGAATCCCATTTGCCATTTTATGGCCCAGTGTGAGCTTAGTTCAAAGTGATGCCTTATACAGGGTCATTTTGGTGATCTATAAATGGCTTTTGGTGAAATTGTTTTTCCAGAGAGTGAAGACCTTGTGTATTCTCTACCACAGAGCCTTCGCCCCCTGTAACTGTAGATAAATCTCTGTGAAAAATATATACCATAGCTCACATGTAACATTAACTCTGCCCCTCTTTCTTTGGTAAGATGGTTCATTCTGAATAGAAATATTCTAGCCAACTATAAGATATATTGGATGAGGAAATCATTCCCTCTACTTGCAAACTCAAGGAGGGGTGTTTGAGACTGTCTTTAACTGTTTTAAAGCATCAAGCAAAGACTTTTCCCTTTTCCCTGGTTTTTGGACCTTGGTTTGAAGTGCAACATTGTGGCCTTATTCAGTGGGGATGGGATCTGTACATCCTCATTTTTATTTGTATAGCTGTGTTTTTATATTTTTATCAGATGTTCTTAATTGGTTTTAATAATGCAAGTTGCTTTGGGTCGTCACTCTGTGAGAAAAGTGACATATTTTTTGTTACTATTCTCAGCAGAGGGCTTTGTAGGGCTTCTGGGAAACAAAGAGAATCCCAAGGTTCACAGAAGTTAAACATTTTGGGGGGGGTATCTATGGGGGGAGGAACACCCCCCTCCAAAAAATGAAAACCAGGGAGTGCAGAGGGAATGAAGAATCTTGGGAAGGGGCATGGCTGGCTGGAGCCTTCAAACAAGAGCACTCCATGCTACGTTTAGGTGTGCTTATGTTGTGATATTTCACACTTGATGAAGATAAAGTTGTTTCCCCCTACAAAGGGCTGTAAATGATTTTTGCTCTAGTTTCTTCTCAGGAGCTGTTGCTTTGGACAACTCTGGGTCTGTTGCAAAAAGGTCCCTTCAAGAGGTAGGGAAAATTGGGCATTGCGGGACCTCTGCTGTTTGTCCCTCAGAACCCAATATTTTCAGTAGTGGAGGGGGCTGCCCATTTCCACCCTGCTCCACACGAATTCTCCAAGAGACCTAATTCATGTCGATATTCAAAGCCCCAGATCAGTAAAAAACGAGACTTTGCTCTCTGCAACTAATTTGCTTTTCATGTTGGGCAGCCAAGTATGGGGTAATCATTGACAGAGACATTGGTCCAGGTGAATGGACCTTAGTTTTTCATCAGGCAAGATCAGGATCACGTTATACAATGTACAAAAACTGAACCACTCCCCTTCCTTATTTTCTGAAAACAGCAGAATCATACAGCAAGCTCTTTCTGAAACTGGAGGCTTGTACAACAGCTCTTGTTCACACCCCTTTCTCTGCTCATAAGGAGATTTGCTGGATTGGAGTCTTAGCCTGGTTGAACGTATGCCAAAAAATATGCCGAAGCTTAAAAATGTTCCCAGCTAATCAGAAGCAGGTCCGTCCCCCCCAACAAAAGGATCACCACCTACTTCAGAAGCTTACAGAAAAAGCTTCTGGATTTGAGCCAGTGTGGTGCAATAGCTAGACAAAACCAGGAGACCGAGGTTACCCCTCACGCTGCTGAAACCCATTTAGCCATGAAGCTCATTTGATGACAATGGGCCATCTTCCAACCATTCTGTCCAATATGGTTGTTGTGAGGAGAAAAGTTCCACATAAGCTGCCTTGATCTCCTTCAAGGAAAGTTTAAGATAGCAATGTAATAAAATAAAAACAAAGTGTTTTTTTAGAGTGACTTGTGCCGTTAATAAAAAATGCTGAAGCCTGAGGACTTCCATGGAAGACAAGCGCCCCTCCCCCATATAAATACAGAGAGGAGACTTTCATCACTAACCTTGACAGTCAAGCCACAGTCATTAGCAATCGCCTGACACCACAAAGCTAAAATATCACACAGGTGCATAAATCCAGAAAGCAATTATTTTAATAACTGCAGAACCAGTCAAATGTCCCATTCCATCCCTAACCCAGAAGAATACCTTTACAACAGCAACCAGGCTATTTATGATCTTTTATATATAACCCTACAGTCTGGAAGTTGTGAATCCTCAGACAAACCCCTTTAGGGCATTGCCCCATTTCATAAAGTCTGGGGTCTGCTGCTATCCTGGAGAACGTTTAGTTTTTAAAAAGATGTCCAAGCACTTCACTCTGGAGGATTCTGCTTTGCCACCTCCACACAAAAGCAAAAGGGAGGCTTCAGCTGAGGGGCATTTGGATGCAATGTAGCCTTCTCTGGAAGAATCTGATCTCCGGGGCCAAGAGAAGCCAGGGAGCAAACCAGCAGTGCATCTGGCCAGCGCATCTCAAGAAGTCATTTTCTATTTACGGAGAGTAGGGAGGGAGACCCGTCTCGGACTCATTCCTTGGCTGCTTTGCGCTGCGTTTGGCGTTTCTGCAGCAATGCCAGTGTGTCCCGCTTCTCAATGCGACGCAGTTGCTTCTTCTTTGCACGCTTCAGTTTTGCTGGATTCCGAATCTGGAGGAAGGAGCAGAAAAGAAATGACAGTGGTGCTGCCAGCACTCTTGTATATGAGACTTAAGAACTCTCAGGAAGAACAAGTCTCCTGCTCTTCACCAGAGGCTTCAGAACAGGGATAGACAAGACTTTCGACTTGGGGATACACCCTTTGATTTTTACTGGATCCAGAGATCCACCAACCAGAATATCAAGGTATACTTTGAATATAGTACACTTTGAATGAAAGGATTACAAGTGCAGGAGATTGATCCTGAGTACCAGAACTGAATTCACAGTTCTCCCATGCACCTGCCCTACTCCAATACACACTCTTCATTTCATCAGTATAATTTAGGATGGATGGAGGGGTTTTTAAAGGTATGTGTGATACCACTAAACAATTGGGGGTCATGCATCTTTGGAGATGTTCTTCAAATTATCCAGAGATCTGCAAAAGAATCTTGATCTATCATTTGGCACGCACATTATGTCCTATATTGTTTTATGACATGAGACTGAAGATTTTGTGAATACACCATTATTCTTACTAATAAAAGGTAGGTAAAGGACCCCTGGACAGTTAAGTCCAGTCAAAGGCAACCGGGTTGTGGCACTCATCTCGCTTTCAGGCCGAGGGAGCTGGTGTTTGTCCACAGACAACTTTCCGGGTCATGTGGCCAGCATGACTAAGCCGCTTCTAGCGCAATGGAACTCCATGACGGAACATTACTATTTTTAATATAGATCAATTATAAGTGGTATGCATGAGGGAACGATGAGTGAAACTTTGGAAAGCAGCTCTGCAATGGTGCCAGTCAGGAAAAGCGAAATATGGTGGCCAACTGCTGTAAACAAGACTGTTTTAACGAAAACATCAGATCAATGACATCTCTTGAGAGATGAAACTGCACATCCAGAAAAGCTGTGCCCATTTGCCTAGACCTGAAAGGCACCATGATAAGGAAACAGATTATGACGTTTGAGCCACACAACCTGAAAAGGCCTTGCAATCCTGGGACCTAGAGGTATTCAGATGGGCATCCGAAAGATGATGCAAGTGCTTTGCGAGCCCAGAAACCGTCCATGTCAGTCTTGCAATCCACAGATTTTAAGAATGGTGAAAATGATCCATTTATGAAACAAAGTCCTTTCAGCACCCCAAGGATAGGAGCTGTAGTCATCTGGAGGGCACCACGTTGGCTACTCCTGAATTAGACACTATTCTTGCAAGATTTTGGCTCCACCCCATTCTTGCATTGATCAGCAACTAGGATTATAGATATTCATCCACATTCACATAGTATTAGTCTGGCTAGAGTCTCACCCATTTTGCTGTACAACATTGTATCTCCGTGACTACATTGGGCAAAAAAATCCTGCAATGCAGGGGGGTTGGACTAGATGAGCCTCGGGGTCCCTTCCAACTCTATGGTTCTATGATTTTCTGACTTGGAAAACTCTTGGGGCTAGACACTCATGGCTTGACAGATGTTGCCATTAAACAGTTACATGCAAGGGCTGGTCTGAAAGAGCTTGTAGGGCAGTTACTGTTTTGCATAGCCTCACCCCTGCTCCAGGCCATTGCTTCCTATGCTGCAGGGTTGCACTGTGCTGCCATAACTCAATGGAACCGGCAAAACATTAGCAGCTCAGGCAGTGGTGCTTTCTGTAAAACTTGGCTTGGTGACGTGGCAACTGAAAGTAAGGTCTGGGCCAGTGCCAATAGTATGCTAACACCTCCAGGAGGCATCCCGAAATAGGCCATAGAAAATTAGGGGCTTCTCCACTGGCTTCTTAGCTCAATAAGTGGTGGATATATAGTAATTGTAAGGTGAAATAAGCAGCCGCTCCATCATCCAACCACAATAAAGACAAGCTTGAAGCTTCTGTACTAATAACTCAAAACAATTTCTACACCTCTCTCGGCTCACTCTCACTGGAAACAGAAATGGTGCCCTAGTTTTAGCAGATTTATATGTAAAATGCGTGGGTTAGGCTAAACTCAACCTACGGTAAGTGAGGGTTTGGATAAACTTTGTATATTTGTTAGATGAAAACAGGCCCACACCTCCCCTAAACACTCCTCCTCAATTAGCAGCAACTAGGAAACATGGTCTAACATGTCATTTCTATCAAGATAAGCGCAACACGAAGAGAACAGATGTTCTGTGTTATTGCAACAGTGCTTCTCACAGAAGGCAAGTTTCTTCTTCAAGAGAAAACTAAGGACTTAAAAGGGGAGACTCACCACTTGCACAACCTCTGCCTTCCGCTCATTCTCCAGTCTTCTTCTTAAGTTTTCTTCCCTTCGCAGTTTTTTCTCCTGAAGGAGAAGACAGTGAAACCAATTATATGTATTATTTTAGAGCCACAACAGTGGGAATTTGAACCCTGATCTCCCAGGTCCTAGTCCAACATTCTATTCACCACAGCACACTGGCTTCCTAGAGTACTTCTGCTATGGGACAACTATATATATTAAATAGGCAAATAATGGGGAAAGCCAAATGTCACTTAGAGGATCTGAAATATTTTCCTTGAAGCTTGAATTTGTTTTATTCTGGATTCTTTTATTTGATGTTTTAATGTGTTGGGGGAAATCCCAAAGCAGTTTATTTAAAAATATAAGGCAGTACAGAAATTAAATTAAATGAATAATAATAATAATAATAAAGTTAATTGGTGCCTAGACATTCTGTTGTGGCGACCGTAACCCAGGTTTAAGGGCATTGAAAATTAGCTTATATATTTGAGTTTCTAACACTGCCCAGAAGAGAGGACATGTGTCACAGCAAAGAAGACCCTCTAACTTACTATTGCATAGTGGATAGTCCTTGAACATGAAGGGCTTATCCAAATATCTTAACCTGTCGGCAGAACAATACTAGAGTGGGGAGATGCTCTTTAAGTATTTAGGTCCCAAGTTTTATAAGATAAGTTATCAACAAAACTTTGAGTTCAGATTAGTAATTTTTTGAAAGACAGTGCAAATCTTTCAGTACACGTACAGCTTCAGTCAGCTGCTGCACTTAATAACCAGGGAGTTGCCCTGTATGCTAACTGTAGCTTTCATGTTGTCTTCAAGGGCAGCACTGCATGCAACACACGGCAGTAATCCAAGAGAGGTTATCAGAACATGTATTACTGTGAAAAGTCTATCCCAAGTCCAGGAATGGCAGATCCTGGCGATCTAGTCAGAGCTGGCACTCCTAGCTACTTAAGACACTTGGGTCTCCAGCGACAAAGATGAATCTAGGCACATCCTTGGGTGACACACCTGTTCTTTCGAAGGGGACCCGACTCTATTCAGAACAGGCCATCTGCCTGCTTCCAGACCTAGGAACCACTATTCAGCAGACCACTTTATATCACAATTTTCTCTCACCTCACGCTCCTTTCGTTTTTCTTCCACCAACTGCCGTGCAAAATCTTTGACTAGTTTCTTTTCCTGACGTTCCTTCATCTTGCGTTCCCAGGAGGTACGCAAAGGCTTATCCAGAGTCATGAGAGAAAACCTAGCAAGGAGAAAACGGAGCCATTACCAACCACTGCCATGAGCGTAAAACCATACAAAGGCTTTAAATGTATAGGCGTTGGCTTTAAACATATACACTATTTTTTTTTTTGCTCTTAACTCTTTTTAGTTATTTTTAGCGTGCATCGCCTTGATATGGTTGTTTAGAAGGTGCTTAATAAATCGATGATGATAACAAACAACTCAAGTGAAGCTTGTTTCTAAGTTCCTGTTCATCAGACGGGGCTACACACTTTGCAGGCCATGCTCTCCACAGACTGGCAAAGACACTGTGTAGAACAATCGAACTATTCTGCGGAAACGATTGGAGAGGGCTTATTTAAGCATTGCAAACCACCTGTGAGTCAAATTTGTTTCAAAATCAGAACAAAAATTAACTGCACGCCACTTGCTTGTTAACCTTCAGTTTGCACCATACGCAAACGCAGTAAGTAGCGCAAAACAAGGTCCCGCCGCCTAAAGGCGAAGATCAAACTCTCACCGCTTCTTGCCGGTGTCTTTCCATACCCGCCCCGATTTAGGCTTTCCTCTGGGGATGGCGGGCGCCTCCTTCCGCTTCGTGCCCGGGGCAGCTGCCTGCGGTTTCCCTGGTCCAGCTTCTACCGAGGCGGCCGCTTCCTCGCCGTTCCCGGGCTGCTGGACCTGCTCCCCTCGGTCAGCATCGGAAGGGGGCTGCTTACTCAGCGGCTCCGCTTCAGAAACAAGCGCCGCCATAGCCCGCTCGCCGGTTCCCCCGGAAACTGCTGCTCTGCCTCCCTCCACGTGGGAGAAATACAGGGACGTCCCCCTCGGATGACGTTTCGTCCTCGAGTATATGCGTAGAGCAACGCGAGTGGTTTGTTGCGCCCAGGCGCGTGAGGGAAACGTGGGCGGAGACAGCCATCTGACCGCAATTGGCCAATTGTCCTTCGGCTGCGAAGAGATGCGGTCTTACCCGTTCCATAACAACAGTTCCGGTTTCCGGCTGTATTTGGTGTGATTTTTGACATGCGGGGCAACAGCAGCGGAAATACATGGAACTCAAAAGGGTTGGAAGTTCACCTTCTTGCAGCGCATTGAAATGATCGAAAAATGAATAAAATAAATAAATAAAAAGATTTTAAAAATAAAATAGCCCTTGATGACTGGCACACATTCACACACCCTCCAGTGCATTGCAGGGGTTGGAGTAGATAACCCTTGTATGCATACTGTCTTAAAGGGACTGTTGTGATTTATTTATCCAAAGGGAATTTGGCTGCAATCTACAAGTTGTTTTACTTTAGGATAAAAAGGAGTGGAGACTGTAAGCTAAAGTTTTCACTGTAGCTCTCAGCAGCACTAATTTTAATCGTAAACATTTCATTTCTAGATCTGAACACCACAGAAGGAAGTAGCAGAACCTGCACACGAGCATCCATAAAAGAACAAATCACAGGGAAGCATTGAAATTTATTAACAAACCACTTCACACACCAAATGACAAATATATTTTAGTCTGAATGCAGAAGGCACATGGCAGGTGATGTATAACAACATTCAATTCAATAATCAGACCTGAGATACTATATAAAAACTAGAAAGTTGATTTGGACTAAGCACAAAAAGATTCTGATAAACACACAATGCCAGCAATATAGTTATATATATATAAAAAAATGTGCAGTAGTTTAGGATAGGAGCTTATTTCCATACATACTTTAAATTGATGCAACAATTCATCTTTACATACTTGGTTATAAATTGAAAGGCTCTCTTTGATTGGTATTTTCTGTTAAAACAAGTGCTTGCTCTTCAGTTTCACTGCTATAAAAAAATGATAACAATAGTAAAACTAATGCATGGGCTGTTTTTATTTTGATCATATATTTTGTGGTTTTTCATTTTGATTTTGTTCTGTGAACTGCTCTGAGATCTCCAGGTATAGGGCAGTATATAAATCCAATAAATAATAATGATTATGATGATGATGATGTCTCCTAAAGTGTGCACAGTCGTTATATGGACTCTGGGCAATTCTTTTTTCTATAACAATAATATGTCTGAGAGGATGGCCTTCTTACACCCAGCACAGTGAATTCACTGAGAAATCAAGTTATAAAGCCTATCCTGGTAGGTAAAAAAAGGTAAAGGATCCCTGGACGGCTAATCTCGCTTTCAGGCCAAGGGAGCCAGCGTTTGTTTATAGACAGCTTTCCAGGTCATGTGGCCAGCACGACTAAACCGCTGCCATGACGGAAGCCAGAGCACATGGCAACGCTGTATACCTTCCTGTCACAGCAGTACCTATTTATCTACTTGCACTGGTGTGCTTTGAACTGCTAGGTTGGCAGGAGCTGGGACAGAGCAACAAGAGCTCATCCTGTCATGGGGATTTGAACCGCCAACCTTCCAATCAGCAACCTGAAGGGGCTCAGTGGTTTAGACCACAGCGCTACGCGTTCCCTACCTGGTAGGTATGCTTTTAGGATGTAGAGTGGTGATAGCACTGGCATTCTCGAATGCTCCCCAAACTGAACAATTCCTTGCAACTACAAAACTAGCACCTTAGGAAGAACTATTCAACCTTGTCCCCCAGAAACAGCCTTTTTGACTTAATTCTGCTGATTGCCCAAACTGTCCCACAAAGATTTAAACATTTTTTTCTGCCTCTGGAAATAATACTGTATGATATCACAATGTGGACAAGCTTTGACAAACTTGTTTGCATGGTATGAATACGGAATGTGTCACACTGTTCTACCTATTGCACTTTGGTCAACATCTCAGTTGTTACAAATGCAACACATCATCAATGCATCTTACTACTTTGATCCCATCCCTTTTTATAATGTAACAAAAGTAAACAAATTTAAGCAGATCTTTCTCTCTTTCAAATGTCAACCTTTAAGCCTCCAGATGAGGTTTTTGCATAACTTTTTTTTAACAGCATCTCCTTCATAATCTATTGAGTACTTTCATGAAGTAACTGCCTCCCAGTTACAGTAGAGGTGAGCTATCGTAATCTTACCTCTAGTGAATTTTCTCAGGCAGATTTTCAGCTGTCTAGGAAACATCGCTGTGGGAACCAAGGGGAACCAACATGTAGGAAGATTGGAAGCTTTTTCATACCAGTCAGAATGTTGACCTTTCTAGCTCATTATTGTCTAAAGTGACTGAGAGCAGATTTTCAAGGTTTCAGACAGTAGTTTCTGTCTGGAGATGCCAGCAACTGAGCAATTTGCATGCTGTGGCTCAGAAGCCCATTGGAAAGTCTGATTGTGCTCTGAAGAGGTAAAAGAGAACATTGTGTTCTTCTTCCTTTAAGTGCCCCTGATTCTATACACTCAGAAAGAAGTCACATTCTTCACTGGTATTTATTCCGAGATTAAGGGTCCATAAGATTGCAGCATTACAGTGCAATTGTATGCATGTCTACTTAGAGGTCAATTGGGTTCAATGTGATGTACTCCCAGGTGTGTACAAGATTGCTGCATTCGGGTACCAGGGCAACCTGAAGAATGAAAGGGATATAGCGTTTGGTATGTGGGCGAAGACTTAATCTATCTTTCTTCTCTGGTTGCAGACAGGCTGAGATGCTGATGAAATGTTTTCCAGTGTGAGAATGCTTGATTTACTGTGAACTGTTCCTGTGGAAGAATATGTGTTGTGCATTCAATAAAAACCCACATCAGTTTTCCCTGCAGGAAGATCCACAAGCAGTTTTCTAACCAGCTCAAAGAGCTAGATATTTTCTCAAAAAATTCACAGCACTTTCCCTTCCAATATAGTGTGTGCTTATATGAGTCTCATCATCACCACAGTGTCCATTTCATTACCACAAACCTAAATTTCATGTTGGAATAAGCGCAGACAATCTGTTTGGGCTCTCTCTCCTCACCAAACCCAGGAGAATTTAGAGATCAGACTGTTGTCTTCCAGGAACACACAGGAAAGGCCCAAAATGGAAACTTTTTAAAAGGTACAGAGATTTCCCTTTCTTGATAATGCACAAAAGTGAAGAGAAGTCTTGGATTTGGAAAACCTTCTTTTCAGCTTATGTGGCAGGACCCATAGAGGAGAGTCACAGGCAAGTTTATAGTTTGTTTTCTCTTTCTAAAGAAAGCCAGGCAAGAGATTAGCAGGATTCCTGCAGTCCATCTTGGAAAAGGTGAAGTATCTGCAAGAAGTTCACAGCTGCGTAGCTCTAAGCAAGAGAGACCCCTATAATTGCTGCAAATGGTGTGCCAAGAAGTGCCAAGAGAAGCCTTATCACGATGCCTGGAAAAAACAAGAAGAGTAAAGTTGGTAATTGTTCTCTGCAAGCTTTACCCATCCTCTACCCAGACACAACTTTTGCCTCCTTCCATTATTCTAAGAGAAATGTAGGAGCCAGCCCTTTCAGGGGAGAGTCAGGTACCACTGAAATCCCTGCAAAGAGGGAAAGTGAGGATCACAAAAAACTGAAATTATTACACTGAGATCAGATTCTGTTCAATATTTGATGGGAAAAGGGCATAACTCAAAGCCATGTCAGGGAGGGAGGAGAGAACACATTTGAAATTTGCAGGCTACTACCAAGCTTATGATTTTCTTTCCACATAGCTGAGTGAGGAACAGTGTTGATTTAGGGGTGGGTTTTTCCCAGCCACAGCAAACCTGTGACAGAAAAAGGCAGGGATTCACCCTCACCATCTGCCGATAGAGTTGTTGTTGTGCAGATCTGGATCCAACTACCAGGGCAGCGACAGCTATGCACAGTTCAAGAACCGAAAAGATGATAAACACCGCGTTCAGACCATATATCAGCGTCTGTGGGAAAAGGCAAGAAACAGTTGCACGGGTTGCTATTTATACAGCTCCAGAACTGAAAGCACAATCAAAACCCAATTGCTTGGAAGTGCAAGAGTTAACCTTCCAAAGCAGCTAAGTCCTGTGAGGTCTCTTTCAGTAACACCGATTTGAAAGATCTGAAGAAGATACACAAAATCCTCCAGGGACAGTGAGGTGAACAAATCGAAAGAGGGACTCCATGCTGAAGCCTAACGGTTGAAAGGTTGACTTAGGCTGTGTACACATGACTAGTTTAAAACACAGCCAGGTTGTCCTTTTAATCAACTGAAGCTGGTTTGAGCTGAAAAGTGCATACAAAGTGCATCATAAGAAAGGACAGGATAGATAATGGATTGCGTCTAGTGTCGTGTGCACACTGTTTTCCATTACTTTCCATTAAATGTTTGTTCTAGACCTTGTTGGAAGGGATAATTTAGGAATATCCCTAAATAACCTTAACTTCATTCCTGAGAATTAGGAAGATTGCAAAGGCGCTCCCCCCGCCCATCTTCTACCCTTACTCCAGAAAAAACAGATACTTGGGGTCCAATCACATAAGCAGGATTTAATAACTGGACCCTTGGCAGGAAAACATGGGAGGAATAAACCTTCAAATCCAAAGAACCATGTACATTATGTCTTTTTTTTATAGCAAGAGACCTGTACACACATTATATAATTAAGGAACTATAACCGCCAGGCATCAATCAATTATTTCCCTCAACTACATTTTATGTAGGCTAGTGCATTTTCCCTTTGAGAATGTTTCCTATTTCTGTGCCTACTGGAACGGTAACAAGCTCACTTTTATTTATTTTCAGTACTGATACTCCATGCTTTTGATCCACCAGGACCCAAAGAGATGTAGTATGTTAAGACAATGCAAAATAACTTTTAATCTATATATTTGTATCAAGAAAATGGCACAACTACATCAAAACCAAAGCATATCCAGTTAACACCATTCTAGCCTGACAGCTCATTCAAAACATCAGATTTTGATCTCCAGCTGAAAGACAGGCACAGTTCAGGCCAAGGCAGCCCCCTTTTGAAAGGTCACCCCAAAGCAGCAGTGCTATAACTGAAAAGGCTCTGAAAGGCAGGCAGGACATGGACCTCAGGGGCAGACCTGAGCGTACATGGGCAGGCAGCTGTGGGATGAAGTGATCCTTCAGGCATCCTGGACCCAGCTTAGCACCACCTTGACTTGGTAACAATGCAGCTGGAATGATACACTTGATACAGCAAGTCCCAATTAGAAGTGTGGCTGCATCATTTTTCACCAAGTGACATTTCTTCAAGGCCAACCCCATACTAAGTAGCTCAATAAAACACCACCACTATTCTTTCCAAGCTTGCCACTAACCTCGGCCCAGTATACCTGAAGGAGCATCTCCACCCTCATTGTTCAGCCTGGACACTGAAGTCCAGCGCCGAGGGCCTTCTGGCGGTTCCCTCACTGTGAGAGGTGAAGTTACAGGGAACCAGGCAGAGGGCCTTCTCAGAAGTGACGTCCGCCCTGGGTAACACCCTCCCATCAGATGTCAAGGAAATAAACAACTATCTGACTTTTAGAAGACATCTGAAGGCAGCCCTGTTTAGGAAAGTTTTTAATGTTTGATGTTTCATTCTGTTTTTAATCTGTTGGGAGCTGCCCAGAGTGGCTGGGATATAAATAAATTATTATTATTATTATTATTATTATTATTATTTCATTGCCTCATTTGGACACTTCTTTAATTTTGTTTGTTTGAAGTTGAAAAGGTGATTGAGCCAGCTGTTCTTTGCATCTAATCCACAGACAGGTGCAATATGTCTCCATATTGTGCTAAAATATCCCACCAAAAAATAAATTTTATACAAAATAAATTTTGATCCACTGGGAGTTTTTAGCACGATTCAAGCCCTTCCTTTATTTTGTCTTAAATGCACCACAGATTCCCAATCTAGGATCTCTCTCTCTTTCTTTCTCTCTCTCTCTCTCCCCCCCCCCCCTTCTTATTTTTCTCTTTCACAAAAGTACCTCACATACATTTCTAGACATCAGAGGGAAAGGGGATATCACATTATCCCCACTCTTGAATGACAGAGACAGGATGTCTTTATGCGCCTTGTTGGTCACTGACAAAGTCTTGTGAGGGTTAGTAGAGCCTCTCACTTGTGAATTAGCCATTTTCAGTTTCCTATAAGTCAATGGTAAGGCAGAATTATTTCATTTAGGCACAAAACAGTTCTGAAGAGTCTCTAGATGCCTGAAGCCTTTGCTGAATCAGATGACTTTTAGCAAATTATGGACTGCTACTACATGCACATGAAGAGATGGGGAAAAACTTACCTGAAGAGAACTGAAGCAATAACCATAACGCATCTCAGAATTGTCACACAAATCTCCTTGTTGATGGGTTTGTGCAATCTCAGTACTATGGAGGATTACAGCAACCAATGCAGCAACACAAACTAGCAAGTTGGCAGCGGAACTAGCTTTCACCTATATCAGTACATTGAAATAAAATAAATCAAGAGTTGCTCTATTACATCACTTCCATGTCTCTTGGTCTCAGAATTTACAGCCTTGATTTCTTTGGAGCCCTACATATGCATTCCTGAGCGATCCCTGTGCTCTAGAAGTTTGCTTCCCTGATTGCCAAGATTCACAAGTTTTTTTTAAGGCCACAGATGGAGAAGCTGTGGCCCTCCAGATGTTGTTATTCCCATCAGCCCCAGCCCAAATGGCCAATGGTCAGGGATGTTGGGACTTGTAGTCCAAGAACATTTGGAGGACTACACTTTCCTCACCCTGTGCTAGGCAGATTGCCTGTGATACATTGCAGTGAATGTCCCAAATTTGGACTTTCTCACAACAACGTAGACATTATGATTGTATTAGAGAATTATTAAACTGACTCACATATCCTACGAAAATAACCTGACCACCTCTCAGCAACTTCACCTTGCCTCCATTACAACAATTATCTTTATTTGAGCTTTGTCTTCTTAAGGCCTTGGCCAGAACAAACCAAGGATCTGTTTGCCCAGCAAACAACCCTGAAGACGTATTGGCAACAGCTTTAGACATACCCTTATCATGTCAATTTTTCGAAAAAGATACCCGGGAGAATATTTACCAGCCATTGAAGATCTCTTTTCTCCATTTCTACCAACAATGACCCAGAGATCAGGAGCTACACAGGGAAGGAAAAACCAAGAACAATCACCAGGCTGAGTCTCATTCCATAAAGAAAATAGAGCACAGAGACTCTCAAGTCAGGTTGCATTGGTCAGAAAGGCCAAAACCTTCTCTAACCCCACCACCTCCTAAGCTCACGCCAACCAGAGGCTTTTTTACATTACCAACTGAGGTTAGTAACATGTGAACCAACTCAAAAGCTACCTCTGTAAAGAGTCCTAAGCTTGAGTACTAAACAAACATTGTCATTTGTGAAGAAGATGCAAGTACCTATTAGACAGAATGGCATCTCCCCAAATAGATTTGCAGCAGAACAAACACTTGGGCAGACCACAGGCAGGAGTGTTGAGTTTTCTTCTTTGGCGATCACTCGTGGCTGAGTAAGATTGTTTTCCATGAAAACGGTCTTAACAGTGAGTCCGTGTGGAGACCAGTTCTGGATCCACATGTCCTTCCACCGTGGGGACATAGGTTTCTGGGTGGGATTTGATCACAGTGAGGGTTTGCCAAACATGCCTTCCTCTTAGCCCTTTTCATGTTTCTTCAAAGTCCACGACACCTTTGGAAAGGCTGTTCTCCAACTGGAGTGCTTGCAGGCCTGTGTTTCCCAGTTATCAGTGCTTATACTACATTTTTAAAGATTTGCCTTAAGAGCGTCTTTAAACCTCTTTTGTTGTCCACCAGTATTTCACTTTCCATTCTTAAGTTGGGAATACTTAGAGTAGTTGCTTTGGAAGATGATAAGGCCACAGGCAGGGGTGATGAGTACCTCATGTCTTGGTGCACCTCAAGCACCAACAATTTTTTATGGCAGAAGCTTTTGTGGATTGTAACCCACAAAAGCTTCTGCCATAATATTTCTGTTAGCCTTTTAAGGTGCTGCACGATTCATTGTTGTTTTTGCTACAACACACCAACATGGATACCCCAAAGGGAAATGATTACCTTGGTTTAGGATTCAGCCTCTTTGTGGCTCTAGGCCTCTGTGTCTAAAATTAGAGAGGCCTCCCCAGAAGCTTTGGTAGGTGAAAGAGCCTCCAAGCCTCTCAGCCAAAGTCTGCTTACCAAGATCCCGAACCAGAAGTAGAGACCACTCTTCACAGTCAGGGTCTTTGAATCTTCTTGTGCTACTGTCAGGGCAACTCCAAAACATATCTCTATAGCCCCCACAACGATCTGCACAGTCTGGAGGGGAAGAACAATGGTATTGTGGATGAGCAATCGTGGACAAGTACTATAATCCTTGCCAGCTTCACCACCACTCTCCTTTTCCACATGTTAGTGTTGCCTACAATTGTTCTGTTTCTAATCACCTCCCTCATCACTATCAGGAACATAGAAAGCTACCTTATAGAGACAGAACATTGGGTCCCTCCAGGATTTGGGCCTAGTTTGATAAGCCTATAGGGCCTTACCCCAAGGGCCTTGGGAAGCATATTCTTGGTGTTTTTGCTATAGGCTGATGCACCGTGTGATACAGTGACAGTAGTTCCTGACGTATTTGCTGTGCCTGCTTCCTGCTGGCCTGGCTGAACGACTTTTGAGATGATCCTCACGTTTCCGCATTCTGTCACAGTGGTGGACATTTCTGGACAAAAGAAAGGATAATGGACTTAGTAAGCAGGGGATGAGCAGAACAAGGTGGAACCAGAGGCTGGTCATGACATGCACATGTATGCTCTCTACAGAACGGCGCCATGCCCCTTCTCTGCTGGCACCACCAGTCTGCAGTGGGAGCTATGTTCCATACATATTAGGCAACTCATCCTCCAAGTTCCTATACTTATGTGGCCTAGATGGTACCATTCGCACAAAAGCAGGAGGCTTAAGGGAACCTCGAGGTTTGCAGAAGCACAAAAAACTCTAATAAGGACCCCTTGCTCTCCCATGCCCCCAAAATGACCAGCCAAAGGAGGACTAAGCAGACACAGTGGACACAGAATGATACCTGGCTGTCGGCAGGTGAGACAGAATGCAGCATCCTGAAAAAGGGTGCGGCTGGCACCTTGACTAGGAGCACTCTGCACTGCAACATTTTGTCGCAGGACGCACTGGTAGCACTCACGAGTAGATGGCGTCTCTTTACCTAAAAGGAGGTGTTATCTTCCTGGTTCTGTTCAGTTACACCTGCAAACTCTCAAACCGATTAAGGCTGCTGGTTGGCAGCCCTGAGCTATATGGCTCCACTGCGGGCACTCTGGAGAGCATCATTTAATATACAAGAATTGTAACGAGTTTCTTATGTCGTCTCCTCTCCAAAATACGCTAAAAACCTAAGAGGCCTCCATTCTCACCTGTAGCAGCAAGAGCAGTTCCTTCTTTGGGGTCTGCTCAGCATTTTAACAGAGGCTGAATAGACTCCAGTTTTACTCTCACTTGCCAGCTTCGGACACTGTTGTCCATGAAAGGACATCCTTCAAAGGAAGACCTCCTGCCAGTGTACTTGGAAGCCCCTTCTCTGGCCAAATATGGGCCGCAAGGGATGACTGGTGCTCTCTCACCCTGCTAACCCCAAGAACATTCTCTGGTTTCACCAAAAACCACGATGGGCTCATCACTGTGGTTAAAAACTATCATGATAACTAATTCCTCCCTATTGCGCCATATTCTACATGGGATTGCTCAATTTGTTCTAATGTTGCAGTCCTAGCAGGAACACCCTTGGTTCCAGAGGGGATGGTAACATATTGTAAAAGAACAAGAAGTTAGGAAAGAGCAAAAGAGCATCATCATCACACCAAGGGCCTAGCTCTAGCCGACAGAGGAGCAATTTGCACACATGAGCAATTGCATGAGTTGCATTAAAGAAATAATGCTGATTTAGCAAGCAGACCCCTGTGACATCTTAAGGGGACCAATTTATATATTTCTTCCTGCCATTGTTGCTGCCCCAAAGGTTTCTTCGTAAAGGCAATTTCCACAGTAATGCGCATGCATGAAACATTTGTGCATCAGCTGTCTTCAGTGATATGTATGCAACACCAATATTGCAGCTATGGTATCAAAAGGCAGCTGAGAAATGTGGTGGGAACAACAGGGTCACACTCCCTGACTCTCTCCCTGAGGTCATCCGTCAGGGCAACCAAGCAAGAGTGGCCAGGGTGGGGGTGGGGATGGGGGCCAGAAGCGCACACCCGGCTTCTTGTTGGATATTCCGACTGAGTACAGCCTGAATATTCAACTTTCACTTGTTTTAAAAAGTCTGTTACCCTTTCACTTATGGTGATGAAATCAAAACGTGCAGGTCTGCAGAGAACTTTAAGACTGTGTGCCCACTGCACCCAGTATATACCACCTCTGCTGATTTGGGAAGTGACAGGCACACAACATTAACCAAAGTCCACACCTATCTTGCACTTTTTAAAATGAAATATTTACATTTTGATGCATTTCCCCCTCAAACCTGCATAGATCAGAATTGGGCGGCGGGGGGGGGGGGGAGAACCTAAAGAAGGATGTACTTGTGTTTTAAGCTGGTAATGCGTACACAGCCTAAATGCGCAAAGCTAAAATTCTGGTACAAAATGCTGACACTCTTGAGTCGCTCTTCTACTCTCTCTTTCTTCCTCTGTGTTTTAAACAACATTTTAAAAAGGCATTGATCTCTCTGGTGCAGACCTCCTCAGACTGGGGTGCAACCCAGAAATGGGTTATGACAACAACCCACCTGTCCAAGACCCTGCCATTGCTTCAAATTATATGAGGTGACTAAGACATGGCACAAAAGGAGGGTGATTTGACAAGGGGACTGTTACGAAACTGGACAAAAGCAAGCAGAGAATCAGCACAGAAGCAAATACCCTTCTGCATTCTACATAAGACAAACAAGTCAGTCTCCAAGCAAAAGAACACACAATTCTGACATCAGTAACGGCAATATCTAAAAACTGGGGGTGGCCGTTTCAACCACTTTGTAACTGATTTTAAAGTGTCCATCCTTGAACAAAGGAATTGCAGAGGGAGGCAACAAGTCATTAAGAGGTTTAATGCTGTTTAATTTTTTTTCTTCATTAAAACAACGGCCTGTGATTCATTAGTTTGTCCATGTCGAGATAATGCATTACCATCAACAACTGTTTTGTGAATGGCCACGGTTAACTACGTACTTATCCCTGTTTGGACTGCCAGTCTTGTATTTCTCTGTGACCTCACTGTTATGCTCTTCCCCCATGTACTACGGAGAACACTTCACGAATCCGATGAATGGACTCTAGCCCACTAAAGCTTCTGCCAGAATACATTTGTTACTCGTCTTTAAGTTACCGCAACCCCCTTGGCTGCTTCGGAAGCAAATGTGGAGCAGTCTATTTTTTTTAAAAAAAAAGGCAGCGTTGATCAAAGACGGGAATTGATTCTCTCACGAGCTGTCAAATTCTCCTGTGGGTTTTCTTCTTTTTAGGGCGGGGGACGTTTCCTCAACTGTATCTGATGCACACACTTCCCTCCTGCTTTGGGGTTTCCACTAAGCTGCAGATTTACCCCCCACCTACCACTCTTTCCTCCCCCAACCCCCCAAAAAGCACGCTCATGTTGGAGCAGGGCATGCAAACAGGAGGACAAGCTCACCTGCGATGAAGTCGGGCTCGCCTGCAAAATGAGGGGTTTGCAAAGGTTGGTCTCGCCCTTTTGGAAGGCGCGTCTGTGGAAGCAAGGATCCGTGTCTGGATAATGTTTACCGCCTCTGCTTCTCTCTTGGTGTCTCCCGTGCAAATGGTCGCGAGGGATCCTCCTAGAGCTTAGCTTTCGCCTGCCTTTCTCTCCCTGGAAACGAATGGCCAGGATCCAGCAGGGGGCAGAATGGAGCTGGTAGTTGGCGTTCGTGAACTGCCTTTCTGCTCCCGGAGTTCTTGTGCAGTAAACACATTCTTGCCTACCTGCCAGAACCGTTACAATTATAGCTTTGTCAAAATCGGGGGCTTGGAGAGGGATAGAGTGAGGAAAAAGAGAGGGACGCAACCTTACCGGTAGGCAACATTATTAGCATCGATAAAGGTGCGCAGATGTTGTTTTTAGGGCGTTCAAAATGCTTTTCGTGCATTGTTAAAGTCATTGTTGCATCAGCAGCCCTGCAAGGTCGGGTAAGTATTATCCTCAAGTTGCAGATGAGCTTCGTGGTTGCTGAGGCTGAGAGGGTCTTCCCTAAGGAGTTCCTAAATAGGATGGAGAGTTGAACTAGAGGCATTTGGTCCACGCACTCTGAGCTGTTATTCAAGAACAAAATTGTTTACAAAAATTGATATAATTCATAAGGCTGCAGCCCTGGGAATTGTTAGGATGTGGCCCAGAGTCTTTGGAACAGGGTTCTGGATTTCTTGTCTAATCCCTCCCTTTAAAATTCTCTTTCTTTCTTTCTTTCTTTCTTTCTTTTACTTTGCTTAAAGGGTGGCTGGGCACACTGTGTACACAACGTATATTTAAAGCACCTGATTCCCATGCAAAGTATCCTGGGAATGGTGGTTTACCTCTCACAGTTACAACTCCTAGTTCAAATACAGTTCCCCAAATTATTTTGGGAAAAGCTATGTGCTTTCAGTATATCGTGTGCATGCAGCCACAGAGCCCATGAGACTTCAGGCACCTGTCATCTTAATATACTCAGAGGCAACTTTAGGTCATAGGTGTGTGCCCCAAGCTTCCAGAGTGGTTTTACAGTCAATCCCTGTTCACCAGGAACTCTTGGAATAGTGGTTATCTGAGGGGAATAGGAGTGGTATTGTGGTGCTTTAAAAGTATGGTGCGATGAAGAACTTGAGGGGATTGCCTCATGTAATAATTGCTCAAACCATGGAAAAAGGAAAGAGATTTCCTAGAAATTTAGAGGAGGGAAAAAATGAAGAGTGGGGGGAGAGAAAGCACAGCAAAAATGGCGAATGATTCAATGCTACTTTTTTATTATTAAAGTTTTTATTTCCAATTTCAACATAACAAAATGTCAAAAACATATCATATTCATTATTTCCCCCTTTCCCCCCTCCCCAATATACCCTCCCTCCCCCCAAGACTTCCCTCAGCTCTTCTCTCTGATTTCTCAAACGTTATTCTCTGCATATTATAGAATTGTATAGATCCTTATCTATCTACCATATTATCGATCAATAAATTTGTGTATGTTTATTCAAAGCCTGTCGAGGAGTGCAGTTCATTTTGTTGTCTTTTTAAGTAATTTGTAAAAAGTTCCCATTCTTCTTTAAAGTCACAGTTGTCCTTATCTCGCAGTTTGTATGTCAGTTTAGCCAATTCTGCATAGCTCATCAGTTTCTCTTGCCATTGTTCCTTTATTGGGGTTTCCTCATTCTTCCATCCTTGTGCTATCAAGACTCTTGCCGCTGTTGTAGCATACATGAATAAATTCTTTGTTTTCCTTGGCAGGTCTTGTCCTACAATCCCTAACAGAAATGCTTCTGGGTTTTTTTTTACAAATGTCATTTTAAACATTTTCTTCAATTCATTATATATCATTTCCCAATTTTTTAAAATTTCTCTTTAAAATGCTTCTCTGATAAAAGGTCCCTTCTTTTTCTTGATTCAACGCTACTTAAGGGCTCAAGTGGAGGATAGGACGGCCACTTAAAGATCACCAAAGAAGAGGACAAAATAAGATATATGTTTACAGCTTAGGGGGTAGAGCATGAGACTCTTAATTTCAGGGTTGTGGGTTCAAGCCCCACGTTTGGCAAAAGATTCCTGCATTGCAGGGGGTTCGGCTAGATAACCCTCGTGAGCATCTTCCAAGGGACAATTCTATGATTCTATGATATGTGCACATGCTCGTTTTTTATGAACAGTTGGAGTCAATATTGCATCTCTTCATATAAAGAAACTTTTATTATTATTATTAAGATTTTCAGTTAAACAGAAAACAGAAAACAAACCAGAACAAACAATCAAAAGGTAAAACAAACACTCTTAACAATCATTCTTTGGTACCATCATCTTATTTACATTGCGTTGGATCACGCCTCGACTTCCTTCCTATCCCGTTGCAGTTTTCTTGGTATACTTCTACTCTTACAGTTTCTGTTCCAATTATGTACACGTCACAAGGTTTATGTTAAGCCTACTGTAGTTTTTAAATTTCTACAATTACTTTCAATATATGTCACAAATTTACTCCATTCTGCAATAAACTTTGTACCTTCTTGGTGTCTAATTTTATGCGTCATTCTTGCTAATTCTGCATATTCAAATAATTTTATAACAAATTAAAGAAAATTTTCAGATATACTTTTCCAAAAAAACCGGAGGCATTTTTGTTAGGAATAATAGGTGACGAAATTAAAAAGGAAGATCAGAGATTGTTTCAATATGCGACGGTGGCGGCCAGGGTATTGATAGCTCAAAAATGGAAATCAGCAGAGATCCCTACGGTTATGGATTGGCAAGTAAAATCATATAAAGAAACTTCTGATCAGTTATTGGGATGACTGAATCCATTATGTTCCATGTTTCTGGTACACAAGAATATAGTATGTAAATTTATTGTTTATGTTTTGTTACTTAGTTTCATATAAAATTACATTACATTATGTTTGTTTATATTATCCAGAGTATGCACGGCTGACGAAGCCCGGTTGGGCGAAACAAGGAATTATCCTGGAATCCTTGTCTTATTTTCTGCATGTGCCATACTTTCAAGTTTTTCATCTGATACCTACTTGCAAGGAATGCTAGAATTCTCAAAAGTATCGACACGTGGAGCACTACAAGATTGAAATAAGCATTCCACATCGTGGTTATTGCTAATATAAGAACTGAATAGACTGTATCTCCTGATCAATCCACTGGACTTTAATCTCTCAGAATATGTTCCACTCATATGATAATTTGGTCTATGGAATTACATATTGTGGCATGATATGTTGAATTGTTTTTTGAAATAGAAGTTATACTGTTACATACAGCCTGTTACGTCATGTGTGTCATTACCAGAGGCAAAATCTAGCAATAATTATTAAAGTTTAAAAAGAAATATAATTCATCTGTTTAATGGAAGCACATCCTAACTGCACTTATTAGGGTGCAAGCCCTACAGGAGAAAGTAAGGACTTACTTGGGAGTAAAACATGCCTAGGCTTATTCTCTCACATGCTTGCACAGGTGTGCAGGCACCTGCATGCAGCCACATCAATATGGCAGATAGCGCAACAAAAGAGGAGAGTTGGAAAGCAATAGTCATTAAGAGGGAAGTCAGGGTTAAATTTAGCGATTTCGTAAGAAATGTACAAAAAGAAGGAGTTGGAAGGGAGAGAGAGGGGAAGTGAAACAATAAGCAAGTTTCTGATCCTCATTCTGAAAAAGACCCAAGCCGTTGAACTTGCTAAATGTGTTTCCCAGAATCCTTTGCAACATTCTTTAAATCCACTGTTACTGTGTTCCTCTTGTGGCTGCTAATTCCGATGGGTCGTCCTTGATTTGTGGCCTTCTTTCTGCTACAACCTTTTCCCCAATATCCATTATGCACTGGGATGCAGGTGTCAGGACATGGACGTAGCCAGGGAAGGCCCCCTAAATCAAGTAAATAAAAAAAAAATACTTAAATGGCCAATTGCCTGCTCCCCCCCATATATCCATGTGTCAGGAGAAGGAAAAGGAGGACTGTCTTGCCAAACAGCAGTTCTCTCTGCTGGATTACTGAGTTCACATTGCAGACTTGATTCTTGCAAAACTGTCCCATGCGGAAGTGAAGGGTTTCAAATCACTTGCTTTCCTTTGCACTTCTTTTCTTAGAAATCATTAGCTGTAATTCAGATGGTGAAACTCACGGAGGAAACCACAAGAAAGATGGTTACTTCTTCCCAATATTTAGTGACTGGGGGAAAAGTTTGTTATTGAACAAACAATGAAATTTTTTCAGGGTCATGTTGAGTGCTTCTTCAGATGACCTGTTTGTTGAGCATTTGTACTGATTTCTTTTTCTTTGTTTTATTTAACAAGATTGTTGATCGCCCAAATAAACAAGGAAATCTATGCTGTAGAAAAACACCCTTCTAAGCAGTTTGCTTGCATAAAGATAAGGCAGAGGCTAAACTGGAAACACAAATATATTAGGCACCAGGTGAAAACATTTCTCTTTACCCAGGCTTTCAGCCATTAAATAATCTATGGCCTATTAAATGGGGGACGGGCTGTTATTATTATGCTGTGTATTATTATGCTGAGTAAGTTATATTCTTTTAAAAAAACCTTTTTATTGAGTTTTACATTGCAAATTTAAATTCAAACAATAAATACCACCATCATTTAGGATTCCCTGAATCCCTTGACTCCCCTCCACCCTTCCATGGTTACCATTTTCAAACTTTTCCCACTGCTTCACTAATTTTCTCTATTTTTCTTATTTAAAACACCTTTACCTTAGTTTTAGTACATTACAAACGTTACTCGAATCCTACCAAAGTTTTTAGTTGTTTACAGTGTTCTCTTATGTACAATATAAAATTTTCCCATTCCTTTTTAAAGTTCTTCTCTTTCTGGTTTCTGATTTTCCCGTTCAATTTCACCATTTCGGCGTAGTCCATCATTTTCATCAGCAATTCATCTCTGGTCAGGACTTTATCTTCTTTCCATTTCAGGGCCAGTAGTATCTGCGCTGCTGTTGTCGCATATATAAATAATTGTCTCTGCTCATTTGGTATCTCTGCACCTAAAATTCCTAGTAAAAATTCCTCTGGTTTTTCCACATATGTTGTTTTAAACATTTCCCCCCAACTCATTATATATCATTTCCCAGAATACATTTGTTACATTGCATGTCTACCACATGTGGTAGAATGTGCCTTCCTTCTCCTTACATTTCCAATATACATTTGAAGCAGTTCTATACATCTTAGCTAATTTTCTAGGTGTTAAATACCACCGATATATCATTTTCATATAGTTCTCCTTCAACGCACAGCATGCTGTAAATTTTAATTCATCCCTCCATAACTTTTCCCGAGATGAAAATTGGATATTGTGCCCAATATCTTGTGCCCATTGTATCATTACTGATTTAACTTCTTCATCCTTAGTATGCCACCCTAGTAACAATTTACATATTTTAGAAAGTAACTTCATATTATTTTCCAATAATTTTTTTTCAGACCTTGAAATTTCCTATTTTTCTTATCCATTTTAAACACATTATTTAATTGGTGATATTGCAACCAGTCCGTTACTAACCGTCTTATGTCCTCAAAGCTTTTCAGTTTCATTTGTTGTTCTACTTCCATGAGCAACTCTTTATAGGTTGCCCATTCACTTTTTGCATTAGTCTTTTTTCAAGGATTTTACTTCCAATGGGGAAAGCCACCATGGTGTATTCTGCTCTAACAGGTTTTTATAGTTTCCCCGTACACCATAAATTGATAGTCTTACCAAGTGATTAAAAAACCCTTTATGCACTTTCGTCTTCTCATACCATAAATATACATGCCAAGTAAGTTATATTCTTAATGTTGCACACCACCCTGGGATCTTTGGACGAAGGGATATTAACAACAACAATAACAACAATAAAATTTTATTTTATTAAGATTTTGAGGTGGATGATGCACACCCTACAACATGTTTGAGCCTTTTAAATACAGGAATTGCTGTGTACATGGACCCTGGTGAAGTTTAGACACCTGGTGACTTGGAGGTTCATTTACCAGGGGCTTTCTATGTCTGCCCCCGCCAGCATGGACCTCTCCCCATTCCATAGATCTCTCTCTTATTAACCACCTCAGCTTTTTCTCTCTCTCATCAGCTGCTAGCTCAGACAACTGGTTCCCTAACACACACACCTGATCTTTCTCCCCACCGTGGGCAGAGGTTTCGACAGACTCCAATGTGCTTTGGCTGCTGGCCCAATTCTATTTAGAAAACTTATATCCTTCCCTTCAGTGTACTATTATTCTTTGCCCAAGCCGAGAGACAAGCAATGTAGGTGGTCAGCTGAGGAGGTGCAGTGCAATGTTTTTCTGCTTGTATTGACAGCCGGTTCCCTGTTGTTTCAAGAGCAAGAAGTTCCTAAACTGCTCCCCCTGCACTCCCTGGGAAGTGACGAGTGATCCCAATTTGTCTGCAGCATGGAACAGCTCTTCATTCAAACGGGGACAAAAGGCTCTGCTTAACTACCTGTGAACTGCAGATAATATTATATCAGACTGAAGCGTGTTGATTTTGCAGTTATAGATTGGGATTAATTCACTGGTTCTGCTATAAACTGCACAGCAGCATTGGGTTAGGCTTGGAATTTCTGCTATGCTCATTTCCCATCTGTAATTACAATAAATGTTTTAATGAACAAGATGAGAATGGAGAACATGTGTGGCATCTCTCTACCAGTCAGTATGGACAATACTGAGCTAGATGGACCAGTGGCTTGTTTTGTAGAAGGCAGCATTCTAGTTTTCTTATATTTCTCCTCCCAAGTAGGAGCCACGTTCTGTGGCAAGAGGATTTGGGTCCCCCAGATGATAATGGTAGTAGCTAAGGAAGGCCTAGCTATGTGGAAAGTATCACCATCTATTTTCAGCCACTAAGGTGGAATCTACACACATATTAAAAACGCTGTGAAAATATTTTTTTAGAAAACGTTTTGGAAAATACGTCAAATTTGCCATAGCTCACTTTCACCATCTAGCGTCACATTTGTATATTGCACTTTACAACACATTTAAAACATTTTATATGCAGCTGTATAGCTGAGTCCTAGGTGACAGACTGATAGCTCTTTTTCAATCCAGGTGGAGGCAGGAACTTCCTGCTCTGGTTTAAGAGAGACAAATAAAGTTCTTGTCTAGTTTCCTGACTGGTGTGCCCTCAGCTCATTTCAAGACACCAGTTGCTATTTTCCTTACAGTAGTAGAAAAAGCAGCACCAAGTGCCAGCTTTAGACAACATGTGTGGCTCTTTTCCACGATGGAAAAAAAGCTACGGCAGACACTGTCTCCCTGGGCTTTGAAGAGAGAACTTCTGCACCACTCTCCCTATGGGTTCTTCGAAGGCTAAACTTGGGGTGACTCAGGAGATCTGTGGATATTAATGAATATTATAGGAGAGTCATGAATATTCTGATATTTTATATGATTTAGGGTAGATGTTATAGGTTGGAAGAAGGAGAGCTTGGAATCTTGGTCTTGAGTTGGACAGGAGTTTTGAAAGGTGGTTTCAACACTGGGGAGAGACGGAGTGAAAACAACAACAACATTGGGGACAGACAGTTTGGAGGGAGGAGTTGGAGTTGGATGTAGATTATGGAGAGACAAGGTGGCAGGGTTATAGTTTGATAGAGCAGGGTCAACATTGCTGTTAGTCTTTGTTCTATATAATTAAAGTAACCAATGAGAAAGTACATAACTGAAACTGAAACTGAATTATCATAAAACCTTTTATTCATTTGGCTTCAACAAATGGATGTCTCAATTACACATTCAAATACTTGGTATCTGGGGTGGCAGTGGAAATTAAAAAAAGAGTCTGGAAATACCTATCAGAGACCCAGCACAAGGGAGTACAACTTACGGGGAGGGAGGGAGGGAGAGAAGATGATGCCCAAGGACCATATAGCTGAAGGATGGGTTGCATGAAAAGCGAGTTGGAAAATGGCCCATGAGTGTCCACCTTTCCCAATGCCTAATAGGTCTCTTCTGTCCCATGATGGCTTTGTCTCCTTCTTTCTCAGGTGCTACAAATCTGTGGATGTGGCTATGAGGAAATAGGGCAGGAGGAGACAAACCATGGAGGGTGGGCAGGGAAGTATT